ATCACATTTGTGGTCAAAATATTTCAAAGATTGTTAGAAAACAAGAAATGGCAATAATGTGGAGAGCATATACAGTTCGCACGCATGGACATTGGATCATCTATATACCAACGTACATCGTTTTCTTTTCAACTTTGACACACAATGCTGAATGAATAATCAAATTCTTGTAAAACATTTATCCAATATTCAATTCTAATTTTCTATCTCTCAATAATAATATTGCAGAGTTGGAGTAAATCTACTGCCAACAAATTCAAATTCAATGCAAGTTCATGACATTTTTGTTTTTCAAATATTCATTTAAGTACGAAGAGGAAAGAAGAGTTGCATAGAGCATACATTTGTACAAAAGCAAATCCATTTGAATGGTCTCCAAGCTTGATGAGAAACTTGAATTTTTACACTGTCATGGGCATACAAAACTACTATAACTACAAGTATACAAAAGCAAGGCTTTATCACCAACATATTCAACATGAGCTCACTTCTTTGTTTGTTTGTTTGTTTGTGCTGCTGGACACAAAAACATGACTTACAGTGAACATTGAAAAATCAATTACTTTCTGAGCATTTGTTAAAGAAAAATTAAATTAGAAACAGCCTCCTATTTGAAAGAATTATAAAGAGAGAAAATAAGAAGAAGTGATATAAAACGACATCCATGTACATTTTAACCTAAAACCCTGATCATCAGTCATGTAAATCAAAATCCAAAATGACACTTTACAACTCAAAGTGTCCATTGACAAACAAAATTTCTAAGGCACAGTTAATGCAAAAATGTCAGCAACATAAACAAAAATTTGGAAAGTCAACACCTGTCAAGAAAAAACTGAATGAAGCCAATTTTGAAGAAAAAAAAAGTCAAGAAAAAGTAGAGTAAAGAAATAAAATGCCACTTTACATAAAAGTTAGACATTGAAGAAAAAAAAAGGAACACCAGAATGTATATTACATGTTTTAAACAATACTGTGAAACCAACTGTGTTCCAACTCACATGACTTACAAAACAATATCTTGTCACAAAGTTCAAGGCATAGTTTTCACTAGGTGATAATGGGTACTCGACTACAGTGAAATATACATTGGTTACAAAAGAGCCAATTTCAAAATGTATTTTTGATGACCATGTCACATTCTTCACAGCTGTTTATCACCACGTAATGAATGACCCCTAAAATTGATCAGAAATTTACTTACAGAATAAATTAAGTCTGAAAATACATGAAGGAAATATGGATCAGCATTGAAAATTACTGCAGCATTGCAACATTTGATAAGAAATAAATGATCTTTGTAAATATCTCTGCAATTATGCCTTTTACAACAAACATCTGCTATTATATTACCAATATCGGAACGGTTTGAATGATAATTCATCTAATACTGATTTATCATTCTTCATAGCAATATGAAAGTTCATTCAGAGACAGTCTAATGAATAATTGATTCTCTTTTTAAATACTTTTGCAATACAGAAAATATATGACAATGAATGCATTTGGACAAAGATCGTAGAAAACAATAATGATTGTGCCCTAAAAGTTTATCAAAACAAAAACATCTCTCTTTGACAAGCATTGCAGAAATCATAGCACCAAAATACTGTTCATCTCCATGAATGTAATAAGCAACAAATCTAGAAATATCAAGCTCTAGATGAAAAGGGGAGTGTTCATGAAATTATTGCTTGGTAAGTTATATTTCACAGAGTATATTCCATGTATAAGGACAAAACCAACAAAGGAATAAACTTTACCGGTTGGCACAATAGCTTTGGATTATATAACACATGTCCGTTTTAACTTGTATCAATCTAATTCATGCAGGATGGCTAAATTTTGTCAAAACATACACCACATACAGAATTTTTAAAACAATGTTTGTATGATACCGTTCATGTTTCTCCCACTATCACACATGTACATAGAATTTTAGATTTAAATTCAATGCAAATTTTTAGGTGAGATGCAATTTCTGTCATGTGACATCATGACATTTTGTAAAAAATAAAAAATAAACAAATTAAATTGAACCAGGTTGTGGTTTCATACTACAAAACTGACCCAGTGTCAGATCATTTTCAGTCAAAACCATTCTGAAAAATCACATACCTGAATGTGTGACTATTCTCAGCTTGAATCAAAATAAGTTGGCTGTCTGTATACAATTGTGTAAGATCTGATAGTATGTAACTGAATCAAAGGTATATCCAAAGGACCCAAGCATAAACATTTCATCAGAAATCTGTACCTTGTTTTGGTTTAAGCACTGACTGGAAATGCTAAGGTCATGGGTTCGATCCCTCACTGGGTCAAGACATCATAAATCTAATCTATTTGTGAATACTAAATCATTGACAGCACAGAATCCTAGTTTGGCAAGATTTGTTGTTCCCATAGTCTCCCTATTTAACATCCACATAAACAATAAATGGTAATTTGAATTATAAACATCACTTTTCATACTTTTAGGATAGTAAAAAGGCACATTAACTGGTTGTTTGTCACCCAAATCATCTCAATACAAAATGTTGTCCACCAGAGACTCAAATCTACAAGATTGATCAAAGTAAATCACCAGTTCTTTAAGTTCTCATGCCAGTCTGACTATCAGCTATGGCAAAACATTTAGATATGATAAGTTGATAACCCAGATGTACGATACAACATGCTCCTGAGACAATTGCTCCATGATGATATCCTTCACTTAACCAAAGTCAAACCTTCAACCCTAACCCTAACCTTGAAATAAAGCTCACAGAAATTGTTATCGGGGCAATTGTCGAGTTAACCCACAACCAATAAACGCTGGAGGCATTTGCATCAATAGGAATGACTTATCATCACTGATCATTAATTTTCAAATTTACATTTATCTAAATCTATTGGAGTATTTTGAATTAAAAATAATGTACAAATAAAGCGATTATCTGACAAATTAGTCCATTTTTCAGAAGTAAACTTGGACCATTTTATGAGAGCACCATAATAAGGAGTTATAATCAAATTGATTTCATGGATTGTCAGTCCACTCAGAAACATTCTTAACATTCCGAACATGTAAATTCTTTTTACAATAGACCTGAATACTATTAATCAAAGTTATTCTTGTAATTACTCTTTTTTTTCTTTTACTTGCAAATTTGAAAGTTAGGGAGGAAAGAAGAAGATAGACAGAGAAGGAAAGAGCAAGAATGAGAAGAATTAGAGGAAGTGACATAAAGAGAAAGGGATAATAGAAATAGAAACATATGTATGAATATTTACAAACTTACAATAAGTGGCTTGAGGTTTATGTCTGAGAACACACAAGTAATTCCTGCACCCACACACAAGCTGCACATCCCATATATAATCAGCCATGGTACATCCAGTATAACAAATCAAGTTTTGAACTTGGCACTGAAATATTCACGCTTTCTATTCTATCAAATTTGACACTGTGAAATAATCATCTATACTACGTCAGTTTAACTCAATGAAATAGACATCTATGCTATTCACTTTGACTACCTACATGAAATTGTCATCTTCTCTATTTAGTTAGACTCTATAAAATGGTGACCTCTTCTAGTCAGTGTGACTATTTAAAAAGGTGTTTTTCTTCTCATCTTTTCAGTTTGACTCTTCAAATTTATATCTATTCTTAGCAATAGCACATCTAAAGGTTTACACTTACCAATATGCTCATGCGTGTAAGCAGATTGAGAAATTTAGTTTACAAACAGGTTACAGAAAATCAAGTTCAAAACTGGACAAGACAACACAGTCTTTGTTCCACAAATGTCTCTTCTTTTCAGCTTAACTCCTTGTAGTAGTCAATATATTTTCATTCAGTTTGACTCCTTGAAGTAGCCAATCAATCTATTCAATTTGACTCCTTAATGAAGGCAATCTTTCTATTCATATCGACGCTTTGTAGTCAAACTTTCTATTAACTTTGACTCCTTAAAGCAGTCAATATGTTCACAAACTACAGGAAACTTCTGTTTGACTAATATCTGGTAGTTTCAGAAACATGTTTCTTCACATTTATCCAGGTAATACGAACACATTAATCTTGCATAATAGCAGCGTAAGGCAATGAATAATATGCAGCAGTGTGAAAACAAAGTACCACACTGACATATCTCTTCTGATTTCAAACTAGTACAGTCCAAATTCAAGTTCTATGGAAATCTTCAAATGATGGAATATATCTTGATTCAATTCATATTCTTTCTTGCAGACATCAATATAAATATTCAGACACCTGACCAGTATAGTCACTCGTTCGAGCATCCGTTCATACCACAGCATAAGAAAAACTACCGTTAGTGTAAATTGTGCAATTTTGACATTTATATCAACTAACTTCCCATATCAGTCAATATTTCAAATACTCCAGTCATACCTTAATCACACCCATACACCAACTCTAAGCCGAATCCAAACCGACCTTGTCTTTGACATTTTAGTTAATGTATTTCTTTGTCGGTCTGTTGACGGTCTCATTAGTGTGACCTTTGGATACAAGAACCACTTTTAGAACAGAAAAAACTCACATCATCTCAGCAACATAAGACATTTTGACAATACCTGCACGTTAAAGTTCATATAATACCAAACATATTCATTTCATGTTGGAGCAAATGTGATTGCTCCAATAGTGCATAGAATGCAAAACTTAATTTCACTTACTTTCTTACTTGTTTCATTGTTTCTTTACAGTAAATGAAGAATTCAAAAACAAAACATAAAATGTAATGAAGCAGCCTTTCATTTGGCGGCTAAAAGAAAGAAACAAGTTACCTGTAAACGAGGTATTTGTAATGTACCATAAACATTTATGAACATTAGAGAACTCTTGTCCTTTCAAAAAGTAAGTAATAAAAATAAACAAAAATGCAATTCAAATTTTACAATTCCTTCTTTGTCAAGATAAATCATGAAAAGAGAAATAGAAACCGTGTGAAAGTAAACAAATAACTTCATGAATAAGAAAAGAAGAAGAAATGGCATGAAAAATAGAAATATTGAATGAAATTCAAGTGAGATGTATCAATTTACAGGTACATATAGGGCCTACTTTGGCACGTGAATCCTTCATTCACCCAGGCTAACCTAACGCTCGATTTTGAATCCATATTCAGCACTCTTGGGTCCGATGGGCTGGCGGAGGACAATCAGACGAAGACCTTTCTCATCGTTGGGTAGACTCTGCAGGCGGCGCAGACGCTCAGGGCGTGGCGTGCTTCTGTGCATGTACAAGAGGAGGAGTCAAGGAAAGAAAGAAAGAGTCAGTGACTATTCCTACAGGATATTCTCATTGGATTAATATAATATCCCCTTGCACAAAGAGAAACACAGGTATGATTGAAATATATATCATTGATTTATATTTCTATATATGCTTTAGATCAAGAGCTAAAACATGTGTAAGAATACTTACCATTTTCTATACAACTTTGTGCTTTGATTTCAATTAATTGTAGAAATGCTTTATTGAATCATTCACATTGTCTTTAGAATTGAACATAGGACAAAACAGTTCTGGCCTTTCCCCCTTGTACATTTCATTCAAGGTGTCTTTAACCCAGCTAAGATCTTCCTATCGCACACACTAGAAACGGAGGAAAGGTCCAACTCACGTGACTTTGCGAACATTGACGGCACTCTGACGGCTGGTTCTCTGATTAGTGATCAGGACAAACTCTACATCATCTCCAGTGTGGACATCCCCGTTGATCACTTCACTCATGTGAAAGAACAGCTTCTTGCCATCACCAGTGTCGTAATCAAGGAAACCATACTGAAAGGGACAAAGGAAGAGAAAGAGATAGAATGAGTTCATGACCACCATTATGGCTACATTCCTCTTCTAAAATATATTCTAATTGAGTTCATGATATTCAACACAGAGATGAAGTGAGTTCCATACTTCCAGCTTGATATCTCTAAAGTTTGTATCTTACAGATCGATGAAACTTTAATACAAAGCTAGAAAACCTTAAATAAGCAATCATGTGACTCCTAAACATATGCAAATCTACATGTGTTCTGGGTTTAGTGCTGATTAAATCTTAAGTTGAAATGTTAAACAAGGGAAACGCTCTCGGCGGTCTCGCCTGCATAACGCAATTCAATATGATAAACCAGAACGTCAATGACATAGCGCTCATCCATATCTCGCAACAACAAATATCGTAAATTTTATGTGGTACACTTTTGAACTGGTCAAAAAATAAAAATTTGATGCCCTGGAAGGGACATAATTTCATTTCATTTGCATAAAGTACCATAAATAATCAATAGAGCAAAATCTCACAATTCTGTGTAGAAGTTCAGTGTTCCAAATTTAGCTCTACCAGATAAGGCAAACCAAATCCAAATTGGTCAAGAAATGAAGGAGAAGAAGCCTTTTTTGTGATTTCGAATAAATTTGCATAAATTAGCATAATTAATTAATGGAAAACAATTTCAAAATTCTGTGTAGAAGTTTAGTGTACCAAAGTTAGCTCTACGATATAAAGCAAACCAAATCAAAATCGGTCGAGAAATGAAGGAGAAGAAGCCTTTTTTATGATTTCGAATAAATTTGCATAAATTAGCATAGATAATGAATTTCACGATTCTGTGTAGAAATTTTAAATCCCCCTCCTAGCCCTATCATATGAAACAATCAGAATCAAAATCGGTTGAAAAATAACGAAAAAGAAGCATTTTGAAAATCTTTATGTGGTGCCACAACAAAGTCTAAGTTTGTTGACCTTAAATGACCTTTGACCTTAACGTAGTGACCTGAAATTCTACTCACATGATTCGGGAGACTTGATAACCCTATAGTCTAATTTTCATTGACTAAGAACTTATACTTTCAAAATTATATCAAAAATTCAAAAACTTAACCTTAGGTTAAGTTTTCGATGATGATGCTACAACATAGTCTATGTCTGTTGACCTGAAATGACCTTTGACCTTGACTTTGTGATCTGAAATTCTACTCACATGATTGGGGGTACTTGATTACCCTATAGTCAAAGTTTCATTGACTAAGAACTTATACTTTATAAATTATATCAAAAATTCAAAAACTTAACCTTAGGTTAAGTTTTTGATGTTGACGCCGTCACCGTCACCGTCGCCGTCGCCGTCGCCGTCGCCGTCGCCGTCGCCGCCGCCGTCACCGGAAAAGCGGCGCCTATGTCTCGCTTTTTGCTACGCAGGCGAGACAAAAATTGTGGTGGGCATAATTGGAAGTTGTGGTATAATTACGGCCAGACTAAAATGTACCCCCCAAAAATGAAAAGTTGCTGATAACTAGCAACATGGATACAAACACATAAGATAGGTGAAAATCTACTTGGCCTGGACATACTAGTATTCTTGACATTACAAAGTGACTTTCTCATTTTAGCTAAACGCTCAGCATTTACAAATTTTCTTCCAGAAACATTTGGCAAATGCAAATTATTCAGTTAACGATTGCATCAGATTCTGCTTGAATGTGTTTTTAATCATTACCAGAACTCAAGATCTTCCAATCCAACACATCAGGGTCATCAACATCTGCCCATGGGCCAGGATTATTATTTCCCATGCTAATAGGATGTACAAACAATCTCAAGAACCCAATACTACAGCATCTTCACATGACACAAAGACAAAGACCTACCTGTCCTTTGATAGAGTCCACCCTGGTCCTGAGCAGACTGCGTACTGCAGCCACGCTACAGGCCCAGAGCTGGTCAGAGTCAGGCCAGGTACAGAGTTGGAAGCACACGTTGTCAGCCTTCTGAAGGAACTCATGCTTGTTCAGCAGGCTGGTGATTGAGTAGGGGTAGGTGATACCGGTAGTTCCATCTATCAAGAACAAATCAACACCCATTTATTGGTATGAAGACTTGCCTTGGAGGTCATGTCATTTTTCATTGCACTCTAATCAAAAATATATTGAGGTTCTGGATCTGAAGTTATGACTCAAAAAGTTGTGGATTATCAAAGTATGAATAGAAGTGGAGATAGTGTAGGGGTAGATGGTGCCAGAACTTGCAGATTTCCAGGACAAATAAATATCTCTCATTCAATTTGGACACTGGAGGTACCATAATATTAGGAAAGTTTTTTAATTTTTTTTACCTTTGCCTTTTTCAATTGGTCAATATGTTTCATGAATCTGAACAAGAATCTGAAATCACAGCTTTCAAACATGCATGTAAACATATCACTTTGAATGAACCACATTTTTTTGCTTTAAAAAAATAAAATTAAAAAGGCCTTATGGACATCCAGTATTCGATCTTATTGCTTTTGCCTTGTAAATGAAAAAACTATTCAAATAAGATTCTGCTCCTACTTTGAAGACCTACCTTCATTGACTACGGCTACAAGTCCAGTGTATTCCTCTTGGTTAGGGTCTACGTTACGTAGTGGACGGATGACAGTTCCATTGTGTTGGCCTGGTTTAACATCCTAGTAATACGATCAATAACATCAAATATTAGAAATAATTTTTTCAGGGATGAACGTCTCATTATAACAAAGTCCCTAGGACCATGCAAACAATTCACTTTAAAACATGATTGTACAATAATAGCACACAACGATGAACATTTAAAGATAGAGAGCAAACAACCTTGTAATAACAAATATTCCAGGAGTAGGAGAGGAATTCATTCTGTCCCAAATATGTCTCTGCTTGGCATCATGATATATTTGAGCATTTACCTTTCTTTAGAAGCTGAGAAAATGATGAAAGATATTCAGAGTTTGGCCTACCTTTGGTGGGATGACTCCGGCTTGTACTTTCTTGACTTCTTCGGCACTTAGTTTTGGTCCTTTGCGCACCGCGATGTAAGAGACCTCATAACCTACATCTAGATCATTCAGGTCTCCGTGGAATTCACTTCATTGGAAATAATGTGAAAGGATGTCGATATGAACAATAAATAGGCAATGGTTTACTAAGAGATGTATTTGAGAAACTACAAATATTTCTGTAAGAATACGGTATAACTATGCAATGGGAAGAAAAGTACTGGTATGCTTTCAAAGACTATTACAGTAGTACAATGAACTATATGCATGTATAGGACATACAATATGTCTTATGTACCAACTAACTATGCTAAGTGTGTAGTATATAGGACAAAATATGTATAGGTTATGTATATAAACATCAAATAGAAGTCTAGCAGTAATGAAGCATGGTAATAAATTACATAAAATACATGAACACCAATTGAATGATTTTTTTACATCTTCCCACATATGTATAAGTGTAGGACAATTGTGTTAAATTTGTTTCCTCTTTTTCTGAAGTATACTTTCATGTAATCACAAGGTATGGATATCATTTACAGTGCCTAAGATAAACTTAATGATTAATGATTTCCCCTACATAAGATGGTTGAAGAATCAAAGATTATACCTAAAATGGAAGAAGATTTCTTTGTCTCGCTTGTCGCTCTCGATGAATCCAAAGTTCTCCTTCATGACCGAGATGACTCCTATCTTACGAGAGTCAGAGCTCCTGTTGAGGACATTGATATTGACTGCCATGCGGGAACCATCTTTCTTGATCTCAGCCACATTGAATTCAACCTGTTTAACAACAACAACAACAACAATAAATATAGTAGTCTTGAAAGCCTTGTTTATACCTCATACACAATACCGAGGCCAACACTAGACAGACAATAGACTGACAAATTAAAGTACTTGAAATGGCCAAGATTTTGTAGGTTATCAGTCAGTTTGGAATAGTGACTGAGGCAACTGACATGACATGAGAAAATGCCTAAAAAGAAACAGCCACAGCAAAATAAAGACCACTTAAAGTGTAAATACACTAGAAAAGGCAATGTTATGGGAGAGGGGATCGTTGTCTCTACAGGCCCAGTCCATACATCCTGGTCTGTGAGTTATGGGATATATAATTTGACATCTCATTATCTTTGGTCCAAGCCTTGAACTTATTTCAATTTGTTAAAGGATTATGATGCTTTTTATTTAAAACAAGTTTTACGGAACTGGGTAGTGGAAGTCAATATACTGACCAGGTCACCGATGGCAGGTGGTACTTTGACATCAGTGTCCTTGGCATGGAATGCAATGTTAACTCGACTTCCATTCTGACCGTAGGTGATGAAACCTATATCAAGTTCCTTGTCTCGGTTCTTACCGGGACTACGACCCCACTGAAACCATGGAAACATCATATAAACATTGTTAGAGGCTGAAAGGTAGGATTCCACATCACAAGCATTATCAGCATGGCATGAAAATCATATTTGGGATTGTTAGGAACAACTGAACACCTATTGGGCAATTTTTGAAATTATGGTTGACTTTTAATGCTAAAATAGACCTGAATTACATAATGTGCATATTCTGTATTTATACTAATGATAAAGTTAATCCATATATATTGCTTAGAACCACAAGGCTGTTAGCCCTGCGTTAAAGGATAGTCTGAACAAACAACCTTCTGGCTCTCAACAGACAATATAACTGATAAGGATTGCTTGTTATCCTTGATCACATTGTGTTGAATACAATTATAATTAATCTTATGTGCACGGTGCTAAAGGCAATAAGCCAACAGACTATTGCTGAATAGGATTGCTTGTAATCACATTGTTTTACATGAAATTATAATTAATCTTATGTGCACTGTGCTAGAGGAAATTAACCTTTTAAACAGCCAAATTCAGTTTATCAGTTTATACAGAGCACTATTCAGTTTGAGTGTCACGAAACAGGCATGTATAGACTCAAAGTCCCTTTATGTTGTCAAGTTCGCAAACGTCCAATTCCACTCACCAGGTTAGCAGGCACTTTGTCGACAAGACCCTGGACGCGATCAGGAAGAACAGTCTCAAAGGATACGCTACCCTTTGGTAGGCGTTTGATACGAATGGCTATCTGGCGTTGAGGTGAGGTTGGATCCTGTAGTGAGAGTCAAAGGCATCATATTACTCATGAGTCAGGTAGCCCTCAAAGAATACTTAGCCATTCATTTGCCAGAGAGGTTATTCTGAATGGCTAGCATTCATGAAAGCTTACTAACTTTAGTAGAGTATACTTGGGTACATTTCCTCAACTGATTTATGAAAAAGCCAAGTGTCAATATCTTCATTCCATAGAAAAATTATCACAATTTTTTAACTAAATGAACAAAAAAATAATCATGTCCACATGAATCAATCTCTCATTTTCATTCTCTGAAAGGCTCCATTTCTTTTATTCATTTTCCTACAGAATCACAAAAATTTATACAGAAGACAGACCCTTAAACGATCCCTAAATGGTTGGACCAATATCTTTCATCTTTCTTAGCATCAGCCTTTCTATGAATAAAACCAAATTATGCACTTGAGGAAATCATGGTGTGAAACAGTGGAACTCAATGAAGCCCTTTCATTACCCAGAGAACACTTGATTCAGAGTAATTTCTGCCTGAAATAAAAAGTCAGAACAACATTTCGATTTTAAAATGGTAATTTTTTTCATATTTTGCATGATAGTCTTTGTGTTTACTGCTCCTTAATATATTTACCCATAATTAGTATTGGATGGTTCCTGTACTAAACCTATGGAAGTGACAATATCAGTATTCAGTGGATTAAACTATGTTGTATACTCACAGGTATCACTGAGAATTCTGTTTCATCAGACACACATATATCACCCTGTAGAAGATAAAAGGAAAAAATAAAATAGCATGAAAATGAAGCATGAAGAGAAGTATCATGCAGAATACTGGTATAGAAAGACATAAATGACAGCAAACTTGCAACATATCTATCGGTTTTCAACAAATATTACTATAGGAGAATGTTGCTTTAAATTTATGATAAAGGATGTCACTGAAGGATTTCCACTTGCAATTTTCTGAACAACCCCCATCATTTCTATAGAATATTTGGAGGCTCTATGGCAAACACATCATCACAGTGCAGTTAACTCATTCCCAAACATGATAGTGATATTCCACTGTCTCTCCATTCTGTCTAAAATGTAATCATATATTTCTCCTCCTTTATAAAGTCTCCTCACACACAAAGCATAAAGTTAAGAAAACAAATTAAATTCATACACAAATCTTTATTTTAATGTCTTAAAGCCCAACTGCACTACTTATAGCTACTTGCGCCCTCTATATAGCAAACAATGCCTAATCGGTGCCTGTTGATCCCCATGAGCCCCTTTTGCTTACGTTAATTGAGAGCCGATTTGATGAGATGACCATCTTTCAGTGACCTTGCAGGTTGGTCTAATCCCCCTGGCCATACTAGTACACACAGGCTTTAAGATAATCAATGAGGTACAGAAGCCATCTCTATGTAATCACATTTATATCCGCTGGAAAAGTCTAATTCGTGGATATATAAATGAATGGGGAAAAATGATACAACTTACAGCTTGGAGCATCTCACTGAAGTGAAAGAACATCCTAGCTTCCCTGCAAGCACACTTGATGAATCCAAACCCATCCTTGACGGCAGCTACAGTACCCTGTCAAGGAAGAGAAATATCAGGCATGATGAAGATTCATCTCAGACTCAACAATTTATCCATTGTCCATCTAGACATGACATACTGCTAAAATATTTCCTCTTTATCTACGACAAATGAACTACAAGGTTTACAGGGCCCTGTTTCATAAGCTACTGATATCGTTGCACTTGATTGGCCGAGAGCAAATTTGTCATAGAATTTTAACATTTGTTATTGATCAGCAGTTTCATAAACAGGGCCCAGAATTTCATGGATTTGTCAGTGATTAAAGGAGGTATTTTACACATTAAACAGCCATCACATCCAAACATTCAGCGTTACCCTATTTAAACACAAGGCAACATAAAGAGACAGACTAATTTCTTTGAGGGTCAATGAAATTGCCTCAATTTTCCCTAATTTTGAGTGATTTTGCTCAAACGTCCTCACCTTCCCCTGACAGAAGAGAAATAATTTTCTAGGTTTCCCCGATTTCCAGGATCGCGCGGAACCCTGACGTAAGAGCAGCATTATGCTTTTGTTTCTGTCTTACTTTGCTTTGCTGACAGCCACAAATGGGTTCTTGCATACTATACAAGGATTGAATTGTCTAATAAATTCTTCTTCTCGCTTCACTCACTGTTTCTCGTTTCTCTGTGCCACAGGTGAAGGTCTCTGCCGCAGCCAGACTGATGTTAGTGGCCCTCTGTAGGTGGTCTCTCCTGTCCGTTGCAACGTAGAAATGCACGATGTCAGCTACCAGGAATGTGTATGAACGCAGTGTGTCCTTGTCTCCAAAGGAGAGCTCACGTTTCCTACAGGTATGACATATCAGAAGCAAATTACAAATTTATTAATGGAATGAAAAATTGTGGTCTGTGCCGTATGTCCATGTAGGATATCTTGTTATCTTTCATAGATCATGTTGGTTCATTAGCCTGATCTTCTACTTTTACAGAAAAGTTGCTTATTTAGTAAATACCAGCATTTCTGGAGGAACGAATGCTGATAGTTTCCTCTTCTTCCCCCCCCCCCCCCCCCCCCTCAGCATGAAAAATGTACTTTGATCTGATAGGTAATGCATATTACCATTATCACAAACAAGGTTAGGAGTGCCAATATCTGTAGTGTCAAAAGCTAACCCAATTTAATTTATTTGCAGCATTCATCAGAAAGAAACCCAAGAATGAATAACCTTGTGCAGTTGGGTATACTAAAACATTTATACTCTCTGCTTTGAAATGGTAAATGCTGTCCAAGTCCAAACTGCAACAAGGTTTTGGTGTACATTATCCAAAATATTCGAAAAAACCTGACATAAAAAAACATTCATTGACGAAAACAATAAAGGGTTTTCCTTTGAATGTATCTTTTGTTCTAAACGATGCTCACCCTCCATCCTTTGTGTTGTAGATCAGTCTGCCTGGGAAAGGCTCAGCAGTCTTCTTGTTGGTGAAGCGGGGAATGACTTTGTTGATCACTCCTTGGTAGACCTCCTGGCTGATATCTTCAAAGACTACAGTCCCAGATAGCAGTTTCTTGATCTGGGTGGCAACCTCTTTCTCCTGGTAAAAAAAAAAGATTGTTCGATTTGTTTATTCTACTTTATCAAAGTTGTTATATTCATAATGGATTCAAGCTCCTGTATTTTCTCCTACAATGAATACTTAAGGTAAGATTATAATTTAATGTCTAAGGATTTGCAGATTAATGCACAATTATGTGCAGGATATTTGACTTATCCTCCAGTGACAAAAAAATGGTTAGAGTTAGGATTTTAGTTGGGTATAGATTTGGAGTTAGGTTTATGCACAGTGTTGCATCTGTGGAATAATTTAGGGATCCAACAAGCACAGTGCATGCATATATGCATTATCTGCAAGAGGGTCATTGAAATGTGGTTACTTGAATAGAACTATGCAAAATTCTGTACTAGAAAGCTGTTCTGAGAAAAATGAGCTCTGGTTATCCAAAACGTTGACTTACATTGCGATTTCCAATTTCAAACTCGACATCATCACCAAGAATAAGATCACTGACGTCACCAGTAAACTCACTGTAGTGGAAGAAGATCTAAAAGGTAGATATAAAAAGTAATTGATATTCAAGCACATAGTAATATGGATGAAACTAGAATACACTACTCATGACTCCTGTAGCTTAGTGCCCAGGCTAAGAATGAAAGCAAAGTTTTGCTGTATTAGCACACAAGATATAAAAATGAACTATGTTTTTCTAATCTTATTGTCAGAACTCATACGCATGCATCATCAATTAGATATTGAGCTCCTTTCACATACTTGAAGCCACTGTAAATCACCCATGTGACAATATCTTTCACAGATGTTACATGTTTCAATCACATTCTTCTTAACATTCAAGATCCAGAGGTATTCCAGGCTCATATGCAATAGCATTTGCAATAGCATTATTTCATGCGCACACCCAGTCCAACTTGTTTTATTCCATCAGAAATGTTGAGCTATAGCTCATCAGATTGAGATTCTGTTCGCTTGGGTGATGGTATTTACATAATCTGACTTAACACGAACCATTGTTATAAAGGATGTCATCAAAGTGATATTTGTCGGATAAAAGAGCTTGGGTGTACATGTAGCCTACCTCTTTGACTGCATCAGCCCGCTCAATGAAGCCGAAAGATTCCTTCATGGAGCAGACGACGCCTTGGTAGCGGGGCACTTGAGCAGACTCCAGGAGCCTTAGATTCCTGGCTTGCATGTTACCATTCCTAAACAGGGACAACAAAGATTATCCCAGCAAGTGAGTTTTTATCAATGATCATGAAAGCACTTGCAAAACATATAAGTTATTAAATAAGTTAAGTAGGTCACTGATTTAAGATTTTTTTTTTTAAGGTTTACCTGGTAACACCGTTTCTCCTATTTATATTATTTTATTTTGTTTTTGTTCTATGTTTTAATTTTAATTTTTTAATTTTCTTTTTTATTTGTTTTTGTTTTTGTCACTAATATTGAAAGGGTTATCTTAATTCAGATATGAATACAAGTTGTAATAGAAATTCACTTGAATCTAGTTTTGTTTAAATAAAAGGTATTTGTGCAAAAAGTATATCACAGCCCTTCTTAACTACCCTTGAACAATGTCCTTTCGAAAAAGGTGCATCCCCAAAGTCAGGAAATGAAGTAAACATACCCTACTTCCTTCATGACCTTCATGGTTTACCCTAAATCTATTTCACATAGTGTTACTTGAGAATGCCTTCTGGACTAAAACACAAGAGTAGATTTTACTCACATAAAAGGGAGGGGGGATGTAAAAACTTTAAACAATTAAGAGAGATAAATTGTTGCCGTGTACTTCAGATGTCAATTAGGCTTCATAAGGAGGAGGGGAGCATGGGCCATGAGTTAGGAGATACCCAACAAAGATATTCTTGTATAAGATTTAGATATGGGCCCTGTCTTACAAAACACAGAGTTGCAAATGATCTGAATCAAGCACAACTCAACTTGACTTTCATATCGATCCCAACTCTATACAAGGCAATTGTAGCACAGATTCATTACATAAGTCACAATCGATTCAGATCATGCTGCAACTTCTTGTAAGATGGAGCAAAGGACTAGGGACTCACTCACCTCTTGTCCGTTGCAACTTGGAAGGCAACCTTGTCACCCTTCTTGATAGCAGGTACCTCAGGTGCATCCTCATAGCTGTACATCAAGAAGAAACTCTCCTTTGGACAAAGATAGAAATGATATTACATCACGGCACTTCACATTGTATATGCAAACTACTCAATATAAACTCTGCATAAGTCAAATATGTTGGGACTGTAAAAAACTACTTCAACTAATGCAAAATTTGACAACATGTTTCAATAGTTTGGTGTTTTTGTTTTATTTAAATGATATAACTTAGGTAAAATTATCTGTATATCTAGAACGGCATACGTTATTCGACATTTTTAGAATGCTCTAGAGACTGTTGACTTTACAGGTGATGCTGAAGGTTATGGGGTAAGACGAGACATCGACTGGCTGACTGAGCTTGGCTCAGTGATGTTAGTGTCAATAATCAAAAGTCAAATGTAATGATCGAGAAATACAAACCTTGGGTACAAACCTTGGGTACAATCCAATTTTTTTTCTCATTCCAACTATCCTGTTTATGATCTGCAAACCAATTTAACCAACTACATTCTGACATACATTCTGACCAATGGGTAAATTCAAACATACAAAAAATGTAAGGAGGTTGGGAAAACAACTTACCCCACTGATCTCATATGCCACTTGTCCAAATTCAGCTGGTCCGGCATGCTATAAAGAAATGAAAAAGAACAAGATATCAATAGACAAACCTTTTACCTACTCGAGAGATGAGCCTGAATTGTTAAGAGTTAAAATACTGTCTATGACACTGAATATTTTATGGATTCTAATTTCAGCGATAGTTTTATTTTCTAGTCTCCACAATGACACGCCAGATACTACATCGAGGATAAAGCATCACGTGACATCAAATCTAAGAAACGCACAAGGATATATTGTTTATCACGTATTTTTAATGGCATCCAATAAAAATAGAATAGAAAACCATGTCATAAGGACTTGCGAAAAATTTATCAATAACAAATGTCCATGGAAATTCATCTTGACAGAAAAACCACTGAAGGTCGCCACTGTGCGGCACCCAAGAGAAAGAAAGAAAACAACTTTATGTTTACTCACTCCTTTGGTACTAGGTGGTTTAGCCTCGGTGACGATGATCCCCTGCAGCTGTTCAGGGGCTAGGATCTCTGTACTGACCAAACCCGGTGGTAACCTCATGATCCTGCTGGCGATGGGTTTGCCTGTACGACGGTCACTGATCATTTCAAACTCTACAGGGTCTACAAGCAAAAGAGGAATTCTTATTAGAAGGTGGCAGGAGAAATGAACATGGTCATTGATCATCTCAAACTCTACAGGGTCTACAAACAAAAAAGAGGAATTTTTAGTAGAAGGTGGCAGGAGAAATTGACATGGTAATGAATCATCTCAAACTCTACAGGGTATACAAGACATAAAGAGGAATTCTTAACAAATAAACTGACACATCCTGACAAGAACATAAATTTCTGATTGTAATTTTACCCAAAATAAATTAAAACAGTAAAGGATTCTACTTGCACAATGTTAATTGATATAAAAAAAATGAATAGTGAAAAAGATAATGAATTACACATCTCTATTTTTGACCTACTTTTTGTTGCATTTGAAATTACATGGCATGGAGTAAGCTTCAATTTATTACATTTTTTTCTTCTTCAAAATATTCTTTTTACTGTTTTTTGTCTTCTACTATGCTATTATCAAAGCAGTCTTTCATTGCTCCTAGTAATATTACTGAGAATATTGTTGATACTACTGCTATTAAATCACAGTACTGGTTCTAATATTGAAATTTGTTTTTACTCATTAAATACATTAGAAGAGTGTTTTTAGGATGAATTTTCTCCAAAATATTTTCTTGATTCCGATAAAATAATAAAGAATAGTTTTTATACTACTGCTAATACTTCTCGTTATCATTTCTTAAGCTACTGCTTCTACTATAGTTATTTGCTATTCTCACTAACAAACAGCAGTAGGCTGTTTACAGGATGACCGTCAACTTACCTCCAATGTGTAGGGTATCAATGGGCCCTTCAAAGTGGCTGTAATGAAAGAATAGTCTTCCATCTCGGTCACAACACTGAAGAAAGCCATAAGAAGACTGGAATAAAACAACGAGGAAAAGACAAGTTACCGTATGAATGTAGTAGTTACAGTTGTGTACTTTTCGAGTTTATTGCAATTTAGGGCTATTCTGAAAATACAAAACAATATGATATGTGAGGTATCTTAGCTAATACTGATGTACCATGAAACAACTTCAATGCAGAAATTACCTAAAAAATTAACCTTAAAAAAAAATGGAGTTCCATGTTCTTTCTTTTTAGATAGTTTGATTAGATGTTTTTTTATTTTAAAGAAATAAATATCAAGCAGATGCAAGCTTATATTCAACTACTGTACGTCGGGTAGGCAAGAAAGGGAACTGACAGCAGAGATTATCAGAATAAAGCTACTGACATTCTTGATACTTACAAGCATTTTTTCAATGATTCCAGTTTCTCTGACAGCCACAGGTGCAATGCTGCAATCAAGTAACAAGAAGAACAATTACCCTGAGGTTTGGCTAGATATTCATAGTCATTACATCAACTGCATGGACAGTGTTTCAGCGGACACAACAATCTTTTCCAATAATAATTGAACGATCAATTTATTTCAAACACAGCGTTACTTCTGATCATTGCCAAAATAACAAGAGGAACATGTTGAAAAAAAAGCTCTATTTAGATCTACCAGTGTTTACATTCCACAATCCACACAATATTTTACATGGAGTCAACTATAAAAAAATTGATGGTAACCATGGTGCTCTGATCATTGGAAAAAAAGAATACATCATCATATTGCTTGTGAGCTATTGTAAATTTGAATTAACAAAATGAACATGCACATTCACAGGAGCCTTTTCACATTCAACAGGGGGACAAAATCTTCTCAGGAAGGCTATTTTTATATATTTTCAAGGCAGCTTTCAGAGCTTCTCTAAGCCTCTCTTAGCTACTTTAAATCTAAAACTATAAAAAATAAATGAAAAACTAATTACCAGTAGATACAAAAACTACCAAACATGACCAAAAAAATCTTTGGCTGAAAATAAAGAAGCAAACTCTAGAACTTACCCATTGTTGATTTGTGGGCCTGGTCCTGGGTAACTTGTGGATCGGTGAAAAGTTAGGCTGCCACCATTAGGGGAGAAGCTCTGCTTGTTGTAGTTGGAATTGTTTGATTGGTCTTGGGAGTTACAGCGCTGAAAAGGACAAAAATCAATATACATCATATCATAAGGAGGGCAGAAGCAACATGTCATAAAGAGGATAGAAATCAATATACAACATACAGTGTACATGCATTAAATAGCAGGGCATTCTTCACTGTTTTTATACAAGTGGGAGTAATGCCGGAAAAGGCACAGTGATTGATCCAGATATCTGAGTACTGCTCATCCAACCCCTGGAGTCTGATCAGAGATTACCAGTAATCTTGTCATGTTTACATTAAAACCCATAGAATTATCCAATAAAAATACATCATTATCATGTCATTTAACTTAATACAATAAATTTAAAAAAGAAGTCATTGGGTTACATTAAAACTAGATGGAATTTTGACTGCGCGCAGTCGAAAATGATGCCTCCGCCATAGAGCAATTTAAACAAGTTTGGAGTTTAAACCTCCAGTGGTTCTTGAGATATCATGATAACAATCTCAATGTATGGAATTTCATAAGTTGACCTCTGTGACCCTTGACCTTTGACCTACGTGCTCCAAAATCTAATCAGATTGTCTTCCTATGGTGATACACACTATCATTAAGTTTGAAGTTTAAATCTCCAGTGGTTCTTGAGATATTATGATAACAATCTCAATGTATGGAATTTCATAAGTTGACCTCTGTGACCCTTGACCTTTGACCTACGTGCTCCAAAATCTAATCAGATCGTCTTCCTATGGTGATACATACTATCCTTAAGTTTGAAGTTTTTACATCTCCAGTGGTTCTTGAGATATCATGATAACAATCTCAATGTATGGAATTTCATAAGTTGACCTCTATGACCCTTGACCTTTGACCTACGTGCTCCAAAATGTAATCAGATTGTTTTCCTATAGTGATACACACTATCACTAAGTTTGAAGTTTGAATCTCCAGTGGTTCTTGAGATATCATGATAACAATCTCAATGTATGGAATTTCATAAGTTGACCTCTGTGACCCTTGACCTTTGACATACGTGCTCCAAAATCTAATCAGATCGTCTTCCTATGGTGATACATACTATCCTTAAGTTTGAAGTTTAAATCTCAAATGGTTCTTGAGATATCGCGCTAACAAACTCAATACAAGGAATTTCATAAGTTGACCTCTGTGACCTGTGACCTTTGACCTATGTACTCCAAAATCTAATCAGATCGTCTTCCTATGGTGATAAATACTATTCCCGAGTCTTAAGTTTAAATCTTAAATGGTTCTTGAGATATTGTGATAACGGTCAAACGGGACGGACGGACGGACGTACGGACGGACGGACGTACGGACGGACGTACGGACGGACGTACGGACGGACAACCCGAAAACATGATGCCTCCGGCACCACCTTCGGTGGCGGAGGCATAAAAACTAATTATAGATCGCCTCATTCACCTGTATCATATTGAAACCGAAAGAACTCCCCTGAAGCAAATGATTTCATTACAAAAGGGCCGGGAATCAATCAAGTCTCTCATCAAGCATAAAAGCATTTTCTTTCATAACTCAAGACACACAAACTACAATTTACCATTACACATTTTAAAGAAAACTACTGTATATTTTACACATTTAAAAGGGGAAAAAAGCATTAACTTCATAAAGCAGCATATTAAGAGACTACACAAAGGACTGTCTAAAATGTCATGTTAAGAACCTGATACATGTACACAACCTGGCTTGCATTACATCATCACAATTGTGTCCATGCCAAGACCATTGCCAAGTATGGCCTCAGACTTAATTATGGCTTGAGCGGTTCGAGACGAAGATGCACATTGAAGAATGTAAGATGGCATCCAAATGCTTAACTATATGCATGCACATTGTCTACGTTGTTGTTACATGCAGTACATGTATGAACTCCATGCACTACATCACAATTTGACTCTAATGTACATGTAGCATTAAAAATAATGTGGATTTTTGTTTTCATAAAAGATGACAAAAAGATGAATCATGCTTACTATACAGGCTAAGGGTACATTCCTAGAATTAATTCTTCAGAAAAGACTGGTTTCTCTCTGTTTCCTAAATCTGTCTGCTTGGAAAATGCACAACATCAATTAAGATAATCCTCAAAACATTCACTAATATATTTCCTCATTTCTTTTATTAAACTCTGTACTGGTTCTTGCAATTAGATTGGATCCGTGTGACACATCTTCAAAATGTGAGTATGTGATGATATGATAAGCTATGGTGTAGATCTACATCTGTTTGTTTCTCATTACTTGAGAAGCCTTTTGCCACTCAAATACGAAACATGCACAACATCATTGGTTGGCTCCGACAGATGTACGTGCCATGCAAACAGCAGACGGGAAATCATGCAAACAGACATTTAGACTACCACAGTTGATCATGCTCTACAAAGATAATGTCATCACATATTCACACACAGACGTGACAAGCATGAAGGAATGCGGTAATAAGAAACCTACATCACAAGCACGTGATCTGGGTTAACTCGCATGCTGCTGTGTCTTACAAACTACCCCAGGTAGAGCCTCATAACAATAAATACAGGATTGATACAAGCATGTGAAGTGATTGTGTACATCTGTATGTGTAGTTTGTGTACATGTACATGTCATGCATGTCACAAAATAGTGATATTATGTTGCGGTTGTTGTATCTTTATCCATTAATATAAATTTTGAAAGTACAAAAAACGTTGCAGCATTAAAGGCAAATTAAGGATTGATCACAATGTTTGTTTGTTTGTCAATTTCATTTTGCTTTGTTTTGTGTTGATAATAGATTTCTAGCCGGTTGGTATTCCATGGGATGATAAGTGTTCAGGTACCGTGTAACTTCATTGTTGAAAAATCAGACTAAAATAGGGGAAGCAAGATTATATGGGTGGTGAAAGTACTCCTGCAATTACATGTATAACTATGATTTCAGAGTTATGGAATTGTTAATGTTCTAATTGAAAATCTAAAACTAACTTTCACTTTCTTAGCATACAGGTAAAGTACATGTAGGCCATTTTTCTTTAAACTTCAGGGATGTTATCAATCACATTGTCAGACAACTAGATACAATATATATATTTATTATCTATAAAAGGCTTCCAAGTGGTACAATAAATCAGTGTATTCAATATCTTTAGCGCAGTACCCTGAGGACTGACCAATATTGTTTTCATATTGCTCAGTCATCCAGGAACTTCAACTATCGATATCGATATCATGATGATTGATATCACACAAAAATAAAGCAATATTTACTGAGGTAAGTCAAATTTTGTTATTTCACTAGTCAGACTAATATAGATAATATTAAGAATATTGTATGGCTTTGTTTTTGTGTGATACAAAAATAGATATTGCTCTCTAAGACAATATTAGACTTACACGCAGCATCTAATATTAGACTTGTCTTTGACTCGTCCAATACTGTCGTAGCTCAAGCAATATATTCTTGTATCACACTCAAAGCCATCCAATATTATATAAATATTCAATTCATGTTTTTGATTGCCGTGTTATAATGTTACATAATACATAGTGCCTTTTAAAATGCTAATTCAATCCCCAATATCAATGATTACTGACACAAACTCTTCATAATATGTTGCCACCTAAAATGACTGTAATGGAGAACAAAAATCAAACTTACCTGGATCTTCCACTGCTGAGGACTCGCCATTTTGTAAAATCCTTGTTTCTGACAAATTCTATCTGAGATTGATACAACTTTTAAAATTGAACAGTGGAGTTGAAAGGTCTCTTTAACAGGAAAGCGGAAAGTCAAGTTGGTATTTCAATAAGTCTTCAGTTGGCAAAGTGCTGTTTTTCTAAAGTTCAAGTGTAACGTTAGTTGACTCGACTTGCAGATCTTAGTATTCAAGGTGCTGTGTTGAGCTGGGTTGAGGTGACGGATAGAAAGACTTTTCAGCAAGTATTGCATCTCATGGGGTAGCTTGAATGAAGATAGGGAACTGTCAAAAGAAAAAAAAAGAGAAGAGCCTCATCATCATGAGTTCGTGGAAAATCCTGAACAAAATGAATAATTATGACCGGGTGTGATTATGACAGCACTATTTTCAAATTTAACAAGTAATCAAATATTACATTCCAACAAACTCTAACCTCTTTCGATAGTTTGCCATGTTAGTTCTGCCTGAAATGCAAATACACACGGTGTACGCCCAAAAAAATGTGATCCCATTGCCAATTTGTTACTTACTTTATGATAATAGTAAGGCTGCGACGAGAAGTCGAATACTCGAGTATTCGCACTGTTGACAACTACTCAAGTACAATTTTCTCCTACTGGAATAGTCAGCCGCCATTTTTTCTTCTTTTTTTTGCCCGCGCCTGGCACTGTCCAGGCCGACACTTACCCATGCCAGGGAGAGCGCCCGCCGCCGGCATGGTACCATGGGTTAAAAAATGTTTCCCAGCTCAATCACTGTCAACTCACAACTCAGAAACTGGGACCAAATGTCCTTATATTTGTTTGGACTCGGAAGAAAATGAATTATCTGTCATCTTTCGTTTTAAAAACTGCATAGTTTACTACATGTGTCATTATTATTATTAAATCGGCGCCTTCAATTGCAACTCAGATTAAATTCGTGTGAGTTTTTAGAGATGGACCTGGGATACTTCACCCGTAGCATGGTGGTGGCAACAACAACAAAACAACAAAAACAAATTAATTAAAAGAATTATAAGAAAAAACATAGCGTCCGAGTATTCAAGTATTGGCCTGTAAGCCTGGGAGTGTACTCGAGTACCTCATTATAAGGTTATGCACAGCCTTAGATAATAGTGGTTAGTTTAGTAGAATAAGGCACACAAATGAAGTTTACAAAGTTCACTGCACTCATGACTTTTTACACAAATCGCTATTATCGTAATGCAAGTATCAAATTGGCAACGCAAAACATCTAGGACAACTACCCCCTCTGACAACTACCCCCCGAACAACTACCCCTCAGACAACAATCCCTGGGATAGTTGTCCGGGGATAGTCGTTCTAGAGGATGGTTGTAATAGGGGGTAGTTGTCTGAGGGGTATTTGTACGGGGGTAGTTGTCCTGTGGGGTAGTTGTCTGGGGGGTGTTTGTCCCGGGGGTAGTGGTCCTGGGGGTAGTTGTCCTAGGGGGTAGTTGACTGGGGGTGGTAATCCGGGGGGTGGATGTCCAGGGGGGTAGGTGTCCGGATACGTTAAATCGCATATTAGGTCGTTAGCTCACTATCATAAGGAACATGTAGAAGGTAAGCAAATCATTATTACTACTGTTTCAAATTTTCCAATTTTTGGTTGAATTCTTGACTGATTTGAAAGTGCTTTTTATAAGAAGAAAGAAGAGTCTATATACTCAGTCGAACTCTGAAGCCAGTGTGCACGGTTTGTCAGGTACGGGAAGATTTGATTACTAACATATATATATATTTGGTTTTATTTACAGTACTCTTCACGCAGGGGTACAGGTGCCAATTAAGGATACATGAAGGTGATATCAATATAATATTATTATGATCACCCATGACGGAAGGTTTTGCTCTCATAGCAAACTTTTTCAAGAAAACGGGCAGATTAGCTGAAAATAAGTCGCTTTATTTTGATGTTTTACAATGGTTTTGGATGGTATTTTGATGGTGTATGAATATTAGATCAATTTTCTTTCGAATCATTTTTTTAATGACCAAAGTGTTAAAGATAATACAAAGTTTTGGGATGGGGTCATGAATTTGGTTCAAATGAACATATTAGAAGCATATGCGATGCTACAATATTCAGGGATCGTTGTTGCAGTTGAAATCGAGTCTAAAGTTATGAAATTGTAAATAATAAAATCTTTATATTATATAGCTCCCTCTCAAGGTCAAGGTATTAATTAAGCTATAAAACAATGTTTATTGACTAAAATCGTTTGGAAATTATATATCACAACTACATATTCTGAGATTTTCATGGTCGCAGCTACCATTGTACGGCCGTAGGCGCTAATTGAAATTTATCAAAATTTACCGGGAGCACCAGTAAATTTTTATATTCAATTTTTCTCGAAAGGATAAGTGTTTTAGGGGCTAATTTTTCTTGTGCTTATAAAACATCCACAGGGGCATCCAAATATATCAAAATTGTAAAAAATCACTTACCGCCCAATTTTCAATTTTCCCAAAACTTTGTATTACCTTTAAGTCTTGCTAAAGTAAAACAGGGAAGAGGTTTTCACCATATTTCGGCAAAAACTGATATCATTCTCCCCCTTAAAACCAAGGGTTCCGTCTGTATACAGTAGGGGCGCTGGTCCGAGAATAAAGATTGTCTGCATAAACGAGGATCCTCTTCGTAAACACGGACCGATGCGTCTTCAAAAATAAGGATAGTCCGTATTTTCGCAGACGTTTCATATTTTCGATCGGCGCCTCGGACAACCCATAAAAGTAGACGTTGAACTTATGCCGAATCCATTTTTTGCATCGCCAGTGGGCGATTTGGTAACCCGAAACCCGCAGAGCGCCGATGGTGGGTTGCGGGCAGGTGCGCGCCTGTGTGAAGTTATCTACCGTAATGAGGATCTGAGACATTACGGTAGATAACTTCACACAAGGGTATGCACTTGTATTGTGCAGCGGTTCGCTGTAAAACCTGTGAAAAAGTGTATACTATATCAACGATTATTCGAAAAATACTCTAAAAATAACAAGAAACTTGACACGAAACAGGTAATAAACATAACGACTTTTAACTCATGATCTTTAAGTTTATTTGGACATTTAATGAATATTTACTTCATTTTGGGTATGTTTTAATAGGGTATCGCCGGAGTTACGGGTCAAATTTTGGATAGGCTTCTGAACAAGCGCCCTTATTTTTGAGGACGCATTTTGTCCGCGTTTATGAGGATGATCCTCATTCTCATTCTCAGACCAGCGCCCCTATTGATATGGGGAAGGTTGATAAATGTAAGTTTTATAAAAGAATTCCCCATGCCAGACGGTTATTTCTGTCTACCCATGCCATGGCCAAGGCCAAGCAAACACAGTCACACTAATTACTCACAGGCAGTCATCATTACTGAGTCATTCTCACATGTAACATCCACAGTCCACATTGTGCTATGCAAGCTCTCATTCATTCATTCATTGACTGTAGGCAGAGCAAGTGCCGTCGGTCGACTCTTTGTTCGAGAGGTGAATAAAACATCATAAACTGACGAATGATTGATTACATGTGAGATATTTGAGATCATATCAATAGCTTCGATATAAAAATCACTCAAAATGCAATTCTTTATGTAAAAAAGACATTTAGCAAATAAAAAGAAGATATAGAAATTCTCACCTCAACACCGCACAACAGCACTTCTGCCCTCCGCCATAGTTTCACAAGCAACTTACTAAGTACGCGCGCGCGGCCTGAATATGTGCGCTGCGCGCGCGCTTGTTGGAAAAAGAAAAAGAATAAGAAAAATAGACCTTTAATATACATTAAAGGAAAAAGCGGAAACAAAAACACAGTTCTTGGTTCTTGGTTCTTGGTTGGTTGGTCCTCCAAAATACTCGTCTGAGTTTTAACTGGAGGTTATTACGTTGAAGCTGGAAACAGCACAAAACAAATAAATTAAAGCAAACAGACCGTCAACGAAAATAAATCTTGACCCCCGAAATATAACAATGAATAATAAATAAACAAAAAGAAAAACCTATTATTTAAGTGTAATGTTCAGCTCTTTTGAATATGAAATTGCATTTTTGAATAGATTTTCGCTCAGGCAAAATAGTGAGCCTGTTCCCCCATAACTATTATTTCTCTCTCTCCTCGGGTTTTATGATGAAGACAATTAATAACAGTGACGGATTCAGGGGGCACAGGGGGGCACTGACCCCTCCCCCCGGTAAAAAAAGGGGGAAGGGGGAAAGAGAAAGGGTGAAAAGGATAACTAGGAGGGGAAAATAGAAAAGGGAAGAGAGAAAGAAGAAGAAATTAGGTAGGAGAGAAAAGGGGAGGGGAGAAAAGGAGGAAAGGAAGAAAGGGGAAGAGAGAGGAGAGAAAAGGCGTAATAAGGAGAATAATGAAAAGCCAGCCTGGAAAAAAGAAAGAAAGGGGGATGAGTAAGAAGTATTATCGGGAAAGGGGCGGGGAGCACGTAATTTTGCAGTGTGCTGTGTGCATAATATGGGGACCCTCTTGCTAGGCGTGTAGCCCCCCCCCCAAAAAAAAAAGCACAAGAAGAACACAAAAAGAAGAGATGGAAAGGGGGGGGAGAATTTGTTGTGAATTCAAGATGAAAGGGGGGGAATGAAAGATAATTAAACAACGATAGAAGAGAGGTACCAGAGCATGAGGAATTGCATCTGTTTTAAAATAATAATGGGATAACATCCAGGGTCGTCGCTAAAGAAGGTCGTGGGGGGGGGGGGAGGGGAGGTCTTGCACTCCCGCCCCCCCCCCCAACGAACTGTGACTTTTTATCGGAAATAAGAAACACTTTTTTATAAATTCAGACAATGATTAAGAGTCGGTACAACGAATCGTCTTCTTTCTCTAATAATTTAATGAAACGTCATAACTTCTGCGCTTCACGTGGGAGGGGCGAAACAAGAAGTAAGAGTCGGGAACGGTACAGCGAATCGTCTTCTTTTTCTAATAATTTAATAAAGTGTCAAAGCTTTCGCGCTTCGCACGGGAGGGGAAAAACAGAAAAATAACTTAGTTCCTGGCCCCGGGTTTATAGGGTTAAATGTGTAGACATTGATTGGCATGTATGTATTTGTCGGTAATTATAGCTAGTTTTTTCGGTAAGTTGGTGGCCTCTACTCTACACCCCCCCCCCCTTCCTTACACCGATAAAGGTCTAACGACGCTCCTGATAACAAAACAGTTTATACACTCGAGATATTATTTTTATGCAAGTACTACTGGTGAAGTACCAGACCACCTTCTCTGTGCATTGTGCAGCAACGAAGCATAATTATACAACGTCTCGTGACGTGACAGATCACTTTTCTCTAACTTCTAACCAATCAGAAGTTTTTTTCCAGGAAGTGCCGGTGAACATTAATGCTCCAAAAAATCTCAAATTGCAAAAGATCCCTACTCTTGGAGGGGGCAGGGGCGTCGCCAAAGGGGGGGTGTGGGGGGTGCGACACCCCCCCACCTGTCAGGATTTTGTCGGTAAAATTGCGCTGCCGTCGGGAAAAAGAGAAAAGGGGGGGAAAGAGGGAAAAAAGAGAGGGAAAAAAAAGGGAGGGAAAAAAAGAGAGGGAAAAAAAAGAGAGGGAAAAAAGAGAGGGAAAGGGAAAGAAAAAAAAAAAGAAAAGGAAAAGAAAAGAAAAAAAGAAAAGGAAAAGAAAAGAAAGAAAGGAAAAGAAAAGAAAGAAAGGAAAAGAAAGGAAAGAAAAGAGAAGAAAGAAAGAGAAAAAAGAAAAAGAGGGAGGAGAGGAAAGAAAGGAAAAGAAAGAAAAGAAAGAAAAGGAAAAAGAAGAAAAAAGAGTGAAAGGGAAACAAAAAATACGGGGGATGAAAGAGAGGAGAGAGAGGGGAGATAAGAGTCTGAGAGAGGAGGAGTGGGAGTAAAAGAGAGAAGGGGTTGTTGGGTGGAGTCGTCTCGTCGAGGGAGCAAGCAAGACACGGGTAAATATGTTGCTGTGTCGTGTCAGCTGTGTCGGTATTCTTGCTCGATCCTCGTGTACTATATCAATGCAGAAGTTTAAAGTCGGTGAGATGTATATTGTTGGTCGGCCGACAAGTTTTTTTCCCTACGAACTGTGATTTCTTATCCGTTGTGACCATTTCGAGAGTGACTACAACTACAATACTTGTATTTTCTCGAAGTTTCACTTTCCTATAAGTTCAGCTAAAGAAATCAGAGGTTTAACATTTTCGGGGAAACTCAATTCAAACAAGGTATGAGAATCAAAAACGGTACGACGAATCCTCTTCCTTTCTTTATACTGTGATGGAAGGCCAAAAATTCCGCGCTTCGCGCGGAAGGTGAAACTTCATTTAGACGAGTCGAGAACGGTACAACGAAATCGTCTTCTATCTCTAATAATTTAAGGAAACGTCAAAGCTTCCGCGCTTCGCGCGAAAGTGGGAAACTGAATTCAGACAAAATTAATAGGGCTTATTCAGAGTCGAAAACGGTACAACGAATCGTGTTCTTTCTCTAATAATTTAAGGAAACGTCAAAGCTTCCGCACTTCGCGCGAGAGGGGGAAACTGAATTCAGATGAATAGGCCTTATTAAGAGTCGAAAACGGTATGACGAATCGTCTTCTTTCTCTAATAATTTAATGAAACGTTTAAACTTCCGCGCTTCGCGCGGGAGGGGGAAGCTTCATTCAGATAAGGATTAAGAGTCGAGAACAGTACACCGAATCGTCTGCTTTTTCTCATAATTTAATGAAAGGTCAAAGCTTCCGCGCTTTGCACGGGAGGGGGGGGGAACTGAATTCAGAAAAGGATAAACAGTCGAGAACGGTAGAGCAAATCGTCTTCTTTTTTATAATAATTCAATGAAACGCCAAAGCTTTCGCGCGGGAGGGGGGGGGGGAACTTCATTGAGCCAAGGATTATCAGTCGAAAACGGTATTATATTAATCGTCTTCTTTTCCTAATAATTTAAGGAAACGTCTAAGCTTCCGCGCTTCGCGCGGGAGGCCCATCACCCACACCCCCTTAATGAGCGCGCTTTTAAGTGATTCTCTTGCTCACTACCGCCCCTCCCTAAAATAAGATCCAGCTCCGCGCCTGCATTAAAATGTCTAGCTATGATGCTGACTAAATTGAAGAAATAATTCGTATATTTATGTCGTCGAGGAAAATGACCATTTTGCGCATATGCAAGTACAAGAGATAGTCCATAGGAAAAACAATTTAGCCTTCGGCCCCAGGTTTATAGGGTTGAATTTTTCGATATTGGACATTTAATTTTGTCGGTAATTGGTGGCTAGTTTTGTCGGTAATCGTAAGCCTCTACACCCCCCCCCCCCCCCACTGAAAAAGGTCTAGCGACGCCCCTGGGAGGGGGTAGGAGAAAGCAATTTAACGTCATATTACTCCAGGAAGTGCCTGAAAGTTGCAAATGCTTCCTATTCGTGAAATATAATACGAAAATGGAGAAGAGAAGTTTGACATTAACTATGGAAAAAACAGAGAATTATAACAGGGGGAGAGCAAACGGACTTGATTTATAAACATTTCAAACAATCAAAAACTTTTTTGTTAATGCAGGATGTGCACCACCACTATCATATCAACTATATTATGTCGCGACCATTGCATGGCACACCAATCACGTTTGTAAACAAGGTTAAAGAGGTCATGTTTACGACTGCGACTTGACCTGTCCATTTAACCCTGAATATTGTGACTCTATAGTGGAGGAGAGCAATCGAAACAGTGGGGAAGGGGACTTTGCCCCTCGATCCTTACCAAAACCTAATTCCCCTCACGCATATAACATAATCACCCCCCCCCCTTTCCTCCGCGTTTACTGTCTCTCCCAATATTTGCATGAGAAAATCATCTCTCAAGAATCAGCACGATAAAGCTTTCATGATTGTATATAGACCGCCCCAACAAACAATTTTAAAAAAAGTAAACAAAAAGAAAGGGATTGAAAACTTCACAAGAACCATCACACTGGCATGTACAAATATGATCAATTTATTGGGATGAAAGTCCCCGGTTTTTGTATTATCACTAAGTGTACTCATGATTGGCAATGCCGATTTACAGCTATGTATATAGGCGATGCTTAGAGAACATGACTGTCTTCGTTGACTAGACTGTATGCACCCCCCTTTCCTCTGCAACCCCACCCCTTTATCCTAGCACAAGGGCGACTTGACCTAGCTTCCATCTCATTCCGACCCTCCAACAGCCGCTCACCAAGTCCAGAATCTAGCCAATTTTTTTTACATAAAAAAATCTATGGCTGAGCCACTGACTCTATACACTACAGTTCAGTAGGCTGGGCGCGTACACGAGTTCGTTGATAGCTCCATCTACGGTGACTTGGCAAACTATGAGTTTGATTTTGACTGAAGTTCAAGCCAAGGACAATCCACAGCTAGCTTATATTATTTTTTGTTTGGACTGGCATGTACATAATTATTGTATTTTGACAAGGTTAACTCGCCGGATGTCGGTTGCGCCACTTTGTGATTCCAAGAGCAAAACATTTTCCGTGCGGAATTTCAATATTGCTTCTTCAGCACAATTAATATTTTCAATAAAAGTGGGATCCTGACATTTTTTACCAAGCTTGAATCATTCGTAGTGGAAATACATCAAATCGTATCCAAAATAAGTTTGTGAACTGAGTCTTTGGAACGGACTTTGATAGAATTACCTGAAGGCTGCAGCGCAATTATTAGTACTGTATTTGTAGGCTCTTTGATATAGGATTTCTACCGTGACTTACTTTCCACTGTACTTTAGAAAACATCCATAGTTAGATTTAGTATTCATAATCATGGATTCGAACGCTTCAATGAATTCCACATCGACTCTGGATACGCAGCCCTTTACGGCCATCGACTATGTGGTCTTCCTTGGTATAATGTTAGCTTCGATCATCACGGGACTCTATCACGCTTTCGCCGGGGGAGGACAGAAAACAACTTCGAGGTGAGCCAAACGAAGGGATTCAACGTAAAAGTACCATGTCTAATGATAGCCTTTCTATCTTTTCCCTCCACTTTATACATGCAATTATTGCTTTAAAAGAGGATGCAACTATTATGATACAATAGCATGGTGTTTGATGATAACTAATTTTAATGCTGATTTTTGCTTGAAACGTTCTCTCTCTCTGTTTCTATCTTTCAAATTAAAACTTTGAAAAGCAATTCACCATGGCACAATAGGCATATTTGAAAAAGTTAAACATCTTATTAATGCTTAAAGATACTATGTCCCTTTTGCAGCCGACATCAAATTCTGTAAAACTCTGCAGGAATTATGAATATGTCATTGTCATGTAATTATCTGTGAAATTTAAACATTAGCAGTGTCCTATTCAAATTATGCAAGCCCGTTTACCTTCTAGATCACTGTCAGACACTATTGAGTGACTGACCGACATCTTTTTTTTTTCTTTGGTATAATAACATACATAAAATGAGCTCTATACATGTACATGAACAATTTTGTCTACATCAATAACTTACTATTGCAATCACTTAAGTCGATTCGACAACATTACTAATGGTCGTTATTTTCCTATACTTAAAGACGTTTTCAAGCCCTTTCGGTTTGAGGGAAGTTCTGAATTAGTATTGTCTTTCAAATACGTACGTTGGAAATTAATCTTTTCATTTTGTTTGGCCTGCAAATGGGACATATTACCTTTAAAATGTCGATACAATAAACTTAACGAGCTACCTGATTATCGTCTACTTTTGCTAGAATTGAAATATTTAACGTTATATTGGAGGACCAATTATTGAATAAGTAAGCATGCGGGAAGTAGAGCAGTAATTAAGTCGATGAAATTTACCAGAGTACGAAGCTCGGAATACAAATGAAAAGAAAACTGTGGCATAATAATATTGTTTTATATGTATAAATACAGATACCTTGCCTTAATCAGCGACCACATGTATTGAAAGACCGATTGGTTGTAGAACGTTTTTTTCTTCTCTCTCGTGCAGTAATTATTTTATACATTGGATTGGAATGTGCATCAAACTAAAGGAACCTGTACACAACGGCTACCTGCCTATTATATACAAAAGACCTCTTTTCTATTCTTCAAACTTTGAGTGGTCTCTACGTATACATTTTATGTGATTATCAATCAAGCATGATGTAACCATTTTTATTTATACATTTTTTGTTGTTACATCTTTACCACGCAATTAAGTTACCTGCTCGCTGATCGTAGCATGAACAGTTTACCCATTGCGTTGTCGACCGTCGTTTCGTTTCTGTCCGCTATCACTCTTCTCGGTATCCCTGCCGAGATCTACACCCATGGTGTCCAGTACTGGTGGACTAGTTTTTCCTGCCTCATCATGATGTCTTTAACGGCCATCATTTTCATTCCTGTCTACTTCGGGCTTGGTCTAACAACTGCGTATGAAGTGAGTATCATGAAACCAACATCATAACAACCGCAAGAAAGTCTAACTTCGAGAAAATAATTTACACTCAGACAGCTACTCAAAAAACAACATCTAGGACAATAATGCACACCTTGCATCAGCAATGATTATGACATAAACTGCTATATTATTATAGGGGGTAGTTTCAAATGTCTGCTTTGTGTCGTTGTACAGGTTTAGTTGTCCGGGGTTAGTTGTTGTCCAGCGAAAACTGTCCCAGGAAAGTATAAGTGGCCTATAGAAAGTAGCTGTTCGATGGTTATTGCATTGGGGTTGTTGTCAGAGTGGGTACTAACTTAGTGTCTGGGGAGTTATCCCAAGGAGTTTTCTGGGGATATAGTTTAATAGTGGAGTTAGTTAGTCCAGGATTTTGTTGTCATAGAATTCAATCGAACATTATTGTGTCAATGTTTTGACTTCTAACAGGCTTTTAAGCGCATGGTCGAGTTTTGATTGATAAGATATTGTGGATTTTTAAATATTAAAACACAACTTGTAAAATCACAAGTAATCTTAACGTTCTTACAGAATAATTCCAAGGATAATCTAGTACCGCGTATATTCTGATTTGCTTTATATAAACATGCCCTATTTGCATTCTTATTCATATAGTATAACAATTAAGTTCTTTTTCATCTTATTTCAAATATTTTTATCATGATACCCCTTCATCCACGCTAGAATCTTAATTAGGGATTTAACTACATGAGAGGGGTGCAAAATATATTTCTTTCCAACACCACACATCCATGAACGACACCATTGGTCTGTATACTTTAAGCGATATAATATACAAAATTAATATTGACTGCTCATGAAGATGATGGTAGGAATTATCACTCCCAAGGTGGTGTTCATACCGGCCCTTCTATCACCCCCGAGGCGAAGCCGAGGGGTGATAGAAGGGCCGGTATGAACACAACCGAGGGAGTGATAATTTACCCCACCATCCAATTACAGAGCAGTCCACATTTGTTTTTTAACACTTTCTAACACTTTAGAGATGGAAGACAGGAGAGATATGGGCCTGTAATTACATAAATCTTAAGGGGTCACCCTTTTTAAAAAACGGAACAACTTTTGCCAGTTTCATGACGTCGGGAACCGCACCCTCGGACATGGAAAGAATAAAATGTGTTCTAGGGAAAAACTATTTCGTGTATAATATTTTTCAACAAAAAGTTACTGACTTCATCATGACCCGCACTTCTCTTTTCTTTGAAATTTTTAACAAGTTTTAGAGTTTCAGATGAGTTGGTTGGACTAAAAAATGTAGAATTCTGATTTTTGTTCTTCAAAAAAGAATGAAAGGGGTTTTCGACAACAGGAATTTTTTTGGCAAGATTGGGTCCAATGTTTGAGAAGTAATCATTAAAGTGATTAGCAATAGATTCTTCATCATTGATGGTCTTATTACCCGCTCGGATTTGTTTTATTTTTTTTTTCCCACTTTTTTTGTTCAATGCCTTCTTAATAACTCCCCATGTTTCCTTTATGTTGGATTTCTTTTTTTCAAACTGGGCACAATAATATCTCTGTTTCTCTAATCGCATAATCTTTGTCGATGTGTTTTTATATTTAACATATTTTTCACGAAGTTTTGGTTTGGGATTCGCACGAAATTTATAATACAAGTTTTTTTTTTCCTATTAATTGATCTTAATAGAGATTAGGGTTACGTGGTTAATGTCTATAACTAGAAAATTTGCATCTCTCTAGAGGAATACATTCGTCAAGAGCTATTTTTAGAACGTGGGTAAATTGTTATAAGACACAGTTACATCAGTATGAGCCAAAACTTCTGCCCAATCAATCGATCCCATGCAGCTTTCCCTTTAATTTATCAATTTTGGAGGCTGTAAATTTCCTTACTATTTTTGAGGGGTAGGTGATTTAGTAAGATTAAATAAACTTTTAAATTTGCAATAAACTGGACAGTGATCTGATATGTCAGACAGTATGATGCCAGATTCAGTATGTAAATGATCAACATTTACAATTATCGATGAGAGTACACGAGAGTGGATAACCGCGTGGGTTTTGATATTACTGGAACAAAAGAATACGAAAGCAATGTTTTCAGAAAATCATGAGAGAACTGATTATCATTACATTTTAACAAAATAATCAACGTTGAAATCTCCCATAATGATGCAATGTTTATTTTGAAGAAGGGGGTGCACAAGTAAATGCTGCATTTCAACTAAGAATTCGTTGTGATTTGAAGAAGGGGGTGATAAATAGTACCAACTACGATATTTTTCTTGTTTTGTAAAACTATTTTGAGAAAGACCACTTCCATTGTCAGATTCATTGTGTTTATATCAGAAAGAACTTTAACATTCAGATGATCTGGAACATACATTGCAACGCCCCTACCTCTTTTATTCGTACGGTTATTAAATATGAGGTTAAATTCATGAATAGGTCTAGAAAATAAATCCAATATCAAGAGTCTATATGCTCAGCACTACCGAGGGAGTGACAATTTCCTCCACCATCCGATTACAGAACAGTCCATATTAATTTGTTTGTATATACCTCATCCTTTTCATTGATTCATGAAAAGGTCTAGACAATAAATCCAATATCTAGAGTCTATATGCTCATCGCATTCAGTACTATATTTACAGTCTTTTGAAGCTCAAAACAGTTTTAAATATCCAACGCTAAAAGAAATCCAACATACGGAAATCCAATGTATACTACTTTGTGTACAGGTAGTGCAGTAAGGTAATGCAGTTACTGCGGCCCAGCGTAAATAGCATGACTTGAGCACGCATTCAAAAATATGAAAAGTTTGGAACATATATCCCCCCCCCCCCAATATTTCAGGTGGGGGGATGGCCTGTACAATCATTCCCCCAATAATTCACCATCAAAACAAACAAAAATGAAGAGAAAAATTAATAATGATAGCCCGATGGTTATTAATGGTTATGCTCGCAAGATGACCATCAATATACACATTTTGCTATCTCATTTTCATAATATATTATGTAAATGAGACAAGAATAAATGGAATTCTCGCTCATACGGCTTCATCAGAAGTTGATGAATTTATTCAATTTATTCAATCAACAGCATTATAGAAGTGCAGAGCGCCAAATGCAAAGTCGCAGCGTTAAAAAGCAACGAGCTAAATGTTAAGCGCGAAGCGCAAAAGTGCAAAAAAGAAGTAGAGAGTGGGAGAGAGAGATAATGAGAGACAGAGAGGATACAGGCGCGTAGCCAGGGGGCGGTGGGGCGGTCGCAAGACAAGGATTAAGAGTCGAGAATGGTACAACGAATCGTCTTCTTTTTTTAAGTAATTTAATGGAACGTCAAGAGAAACTGAATTTAGACAAGGATTAAGAGTCAATAACGGTATACAACGAATCGTCTTCTTTCCCTAATAATGTAATAAAACATCAAAGGGGGGAGGGGACTGAATTCAGACAAGGATTAAGAGTCGAGAACGGTACAACGAATCGTCTTCTTTCTTTAGTAATTTAATGAAACATCAAAAGAAACTGAATTTAGACAAGGATTAAGAGTCGAGAACGGTACAACGAATCGTCTTCTTTCCCTAATAATGTAATAAAACATCAAAGCTTCCGCGCTTCGCATGGGAGGGGGAGGGAAACTGAATTCAGACAAGGATTAAGAGTCGAGAATGGTACAACGAATCGTCTTCTTTCTTTATCAATTTAATGAAATGTCAGAGCTTCCGCGCTATGCGCGGAGGAAGGGGAACTTCATTCAAACAAGGATTAAGAATCGAGAACGGTACAACGAATCGTCTTTCTCTAATAATTTAATGAAACATCAAAGCTTCCGCGCTTCGCGTGGGACGGGGAAACCCCCCCTCCCTGCAGCCACCCCCTAGGGAGCGCGCTTCGCGTGCTCACTACCGCCCCCTAAAATAAAATCCTTGCTACGCGCTTGAAAGGATAATAACCCAAGTTGCAAGCCCATGTGGGACCCACATGGGTCCCATATTCTCTGAAATGTTATCTTTATTGAGGGTGACTTGAAAAAAGTTAATAACTTGTAAGGGAGTGGGTGCAACCTGCCAGACGCTTCTACCTCTTGGTTGCTTTGATCCATTGCCGAAAATATTTTGGCACCTATCATCCCCCCCCCCCCCAACCACGGATGCAAATCGACAGCTTTTAGCAGACACTAATTAAGGTTTAATTTATCCGACATATTCGCAAGTTGAATCGAATACATTCAAATTAAACAAACAAAACATTAAAAGTATCATCAGAATCGTAAGGAAATCCCCCCCCCCCCCAAAAAAAAAAAAAACAACAAACGTGAATGTGAATGTGTCGCGCTTATTTTGCGCTAATTTTAGACCATGGTTCATGTAAAATATGAAGATTTAAACCATGGGTTAAATTTAAATCTACTTTGTGAATTCGGGCCTATGTGTTTGCTTTATGATCAATAAAACGGAGTAATAATCCGATACTTTTGTCAATATTCTTTCTTTTCATTTAAACGGAAAAGAACAAGCTATAGAGGAGTAGGTCGTCATCTAATAAAAAAATAATCGTAATGAAATGATGATCCTAGTAGAAAATATTTGTTCATTGTAGTAAGCAAATATTAATCGACTACGAGGGTTATGGTACAAATTATATACCTCACTTAAGAAATCCAGCCATCTGATTGGTCGAATTGCATTCATAAATTTCAATTGTTCCTGTAAAATTCCCGGTAACCATGCTTAAAACATTTCAATATTTTTAATAACCATGGTTATTAAAAAAATAGGTCAGTCTCCATGGTTACCCCATAGGTTTACATGTTAAAAAATGGTTTGAGCGATGGAGGATACCATACGTGTGCGAAAAATTGGTCGGCAATTTCAATACAATTGAATCTCGATCGATCTTACCGACAATTTTATCTTGCATTGTTGACATGAAGACGAAAATTAACTCTCAAAACAAAAAAACAACATCTGCCGATAGATCTTGATCTAAGTTCGTGCCAATATGCATTGCAAAAGTAAAAGAAGGGTCCGTTTCATATGGAGCTTTTGCGAAGCATCCCTCACGCGGAGCCGTTTTCAATCCATTTTAATGTATATATTGGAGAAAACTGCCAAGAATGTTAACGGCGCGCGATAGCCGAGTGGTCTAAGCGTTGGTTTTCGTTACACCTCTTGTTGTACGCAAGAGTTCGAATCCCGTCTTCGACAAAAATGTAAATTATTTTTTATTTTTTATTTTTTAGTCTATTTTTTTTCGGCATATAAAAGTATTAATGACTGCTTTAATATTCGAGAAATAGTTGTTTTCATACGCTCTCGGGAAGGTTACAATTGGGCTATTCCCCTCGGCAAGCCTCGGGGAATAGCACAATTCTAACCTTCCCGTGAGCGTAATAAAACAACTATTTCTCTCAAAGCAGTCATTAATACTATACTATCATCGCCGAGATATCCCACATTGTATTTCAATTAAGTCAATAAAACTGGTAGAAGTCCGAAAGAACGATGAACTTGTCAACACATAACATATCATACATGTCTACAGTGTATATGTACACTAGAGACCAACGAGGGGATGGTAGTTTGTACTGTAAAAAGTACTATCACACCCCTAGCTTACAGCCATGAAGTGATGGTAAATCTATCATTGTTCATGTGACCTCGTTTAGACCAATCAGATTGCAAGATTCTAAGTAGGCCTATATGCGGGATATAGGCATTCGGACATCATGAACAAACACTCAATAATTATACCCAAAGTTCATTTGCGATCAAACTTCCATGATCTGCATGTGTCGACTGGATACATCACAATAACAGTCACATGAATAATAAAGTATCATAAATGAGTGCTTTTTATTTCCCTGCATTGTTTGTTGTAAGACTATACAGTATACTTTTATGACATTACAAAAGATATACACTGTTGCTCATAACGGTGGAATATTTTTTTTTATCCCAATTTATGGAATTATTTTAAAAATAATTTAAAAATACTAGATCTAGATAATAGTATACAGTCTCAGATTTTATTGAATAATAATTTGCCAATATGTGTTTTGCGTGACTGCTAAAGCATGTATATTATGCTACTATGTTTATCAACTAGGGGACCTATGCCCTTAAGTCATAAATGACAGTAATGAGGATTAATGCCTCACAAAAGGGCACTAATATAGCACATCGACACGGTGTTGATCCTGGGGCCTCACAGTTACGAGGCCATTGCTTTGTCACTGAACCATGACTGTACGCAGCGGGGGCTATGGTAGGGGGCAGTTTCCATAAATTAAAAAAAAAAACAGAAAATGCAATAAATTTTCAATAATTTATTGCATTCTACCCCGGTCCCCAACATAAAAAAAATCTTCTGTGTGCCCATGCCTTGAGCCATAATGCATGGCCGTCCAGAGGATTTTTTTATGTTGGGGACCGGGGTAGAATGCAATAAATTATTGAATATTTATTGCATTTTCTGTTTTTTTTTTAATTTATGGAAACTGCCCCCTACCCTAGCCCCCGCTGCGTACAGTCATGGTTCAGTGACAAAGCAATGGCCTCGTAACTGTGAGGCCCCAGGATCAACACCGTGTCGATGTGCTATATCAGAGCCCTTTTGTGAGGCATTAATCCTCATTACTGTCATTTATGACTTAAGGGCATAGGTCCCCTAGTTGATAAACATAGTAGCATAATATACATGCTTTAGCAGTCACGCAAAACACATATTGGCAAATTATTATTCAATAAAATCTGAGACTGTATACTATTATCTAGATCTAGTATTTTTAAATTATTTTTAAAATAATTCCATAAATTGGGATAAAAAAAAATATTCCACCGTTATGAGCAACAGTGTAATTGAGAATTAACAACTCGAGTTGGTATATATCAATATAATAAATTTTCAATGAGGGGTTGAGGCTCCGAATGTGAACAGCTATTGCCTTCAAACTTTAAGGAATGAAACGATGTAATTCTGAATTAAACTCAAGTACGAATAAATATTTTTAGAAACAAGAGTGAAATTGATTGAAATCATATTGAAATGATGTTTTCTTTCAGTACCTCCATCTCCGGTTCGGTATGACAGTACGAATTGCTGGGACCATCTTGTTCATATTGCAGACAGAGGTTTACATGGCTATAGTAATATACGCCCCTTCATTAGCAATTCAAGCAGGTAAAAGTAGTATTAGTATTAATTATTTGGAAGAGGGGGTGGATTGTGGAGATAATGGGGGAGGAGGAGGAGGAATGGGGGGGGGGGGTGAGGTGTCAATACTTTGGTGAAGTTATACGACGATAAATTTTACACAATGCACGTACCAGTACCACCAGTTTAAGGTATGGCAATTACTCGAAGACAACAAATAGCCCATTTTTGTTTATTAAACAAACATTATGAGTACTGGTATTCCTTGAAGCCTTTCTCCCTTTTAAAGTTTATACCTGTAAACCGGACTTGATTTTGTAAACATTTCGAAGAATTTTATGAATGTTAGGCCGACATTAACACACCACTTTGAAATTTCGCCCGGTACTCTGAAGGCATCGTATCAATATACCGGTTACTAACATAATTATTCAAATTTGGATAGACCGAGGCTAAACCATGCACCTAGCACCAAAACGAGTGAGTCTATAACATAAAGTTTTATGAATTATTGCTAGATAGAAATATTTGCCCCCCCCCCCTAGGGTGCCGAACAGTGCTGACCTACAGTGGTTTTTCTATTAAGATCAAACGTATACCGGTGAAAAACAAATTTCTGAATGGATAATAAATGGTTTATTTCAATTTCAATTTTAATTTGATGTTTCAAAAGTGATATTAAGCATTTTCCCAAGTGACGCATTTTCGTATTTCTACATACAGATTCTGTTATTCATAACATAAATTATGGTGATATTTTGAATTGACAATTTTTCGCAAGTCTATGTATTGTGCGGTTTAATACATGCCATAGTTTTCTATGTGTGTGCATTTGTCATAGATCAGGGCTTTCATAACGAATCTTAGATAGGGGACCAAGGAACCCCCCCCCCCTCCTTCCTGTTAATTTTGGATGTTTCTTTCCTGGGGACATATAAAGTGACGGATTATTCCAGTGACCTGTCATTAATGAATGAACTACAATACTCTGAATCTAGTCTGTATAAATATATTTATATATATATATATATATATATATATATATATTACTTGTTGCTATGTCGAACAAGCCTATGAAAAGCTTTAGGGTTTTCAACAACCTTTATTTCATAAGTATGCATAACATTTGAAAATGTTAGTAAATCGGTCGACAAACCTCCTTTGTGAATTCGGGCCAGAATTGTATTTGCCATCTGTTTTCAGTGACTGACCTGCCGGTTTATGCAACCATCCTTCTAAGTGGAGCTGTATGTATCATCTACACAGCATTGGTAAGGTCAATTCTAGTCCTGACTTCTTTCTTCTAGACTCTCAAATTTGAAATGCATGTTACCTTGACATTCTGTGGAGATTATCCTTTTATCATAAACCCTTTTATCGTGTACGCGCCGTAACGGTGCCGTACTTTGGAAACGCAATCCAATAATGAATCCCATTCTTGCGCCTGTTGGGGTTTTAGGCTGTGTGGCAGTATATACTGGTGTAATTTCGATTTGATTTGATTTGATTTGATTTCTGCATTTTTCCAAATACAATAACTTAATAACAAAGAACACATAAACGTATAAGGTATAATACAAACAATAATAACTTCATGTCAAAATGTTATTTACATTTGTACATAACGAACTTAATATTTCTATAATATATTAATATAAATTTAAAGTATTATCCGAATTATCTGTGGAAAAAGTGCAGGAGACGCAATCGTAAACGATGCTTGACTATACTTGACTAGGATTGCGGCCTCAAAAGAAAAATCTTAAGGTGAACTTTGAAATGAAAATAGCTTGGCTGTAATGTATTGAAATGATGTTGACATTGTGCTTCATTGCTGACAGTGGGATATTATGTAGAAATATATGTGGTAGCAGAGAGGCCGAACGTTATAAAGAAGAATTAAATTACTGCCCGATACAAAATGACGTCAACGCTGAAATGTTCTATAGGTGTCTCGAAAGAAAAGAAGCAAAAAGGCAAGAAAATAAAAACAAGAAAAAGAAGAAAAAGAAAAGCAGGAGACATGCAAAGAAATATAGAAGGAAGAAAAGAATTTCAACAACAAAAAAACCACACCGTTACAATACACACTTCACAGATCAGCCTGAATCTTTAAGAGAAAATGTCTTAATGAAACTACACGTATTTTTGTAAGCCCTGTTGTTTTTCAAGACCATGATTAATAATAGCTTAATCGCCATTTACAAAGAACTCCCTGAAACACTTTTACCAATATATAGGGTGGAATCAAGGGTGTCATTTGGGCTGACGTTCTCCAGTTTCTCGTCCTCTTCGTTTCTTTCGTCCTCGTTGTCGTTCTCGGGTGCATCCGTGCTGGAGGAATTGACTACGTCTGGGAGTACAATAAACAAAATGATCACCTGAACTTCTTGTGGTAAGTTTATAGGCCTGCATAGGGTTCTACGACACACGCTCAAGTTGCAATTGCTCCAAGTCCGCGGTCGATTTCCTACCTTAATCAAAATTATTTAAACACTTACCAAGTTTTGTAATTTTATTAAGCATGTGAACAAATTGATTTGTTCCGATTTGTGTTTCTTGAGAATGTGACATGTAAAAGTAATTTAAAAAGGTCTTTATTTTAATTACAGAGCACCAGGAGTGTCAAGTCTGAAAGACATGGGCGCTATTATAAGAACCCACTATTATTATGTTAATTATTATTTATTATACCAGTCCACCTTTGATTCTTGAGTAACGAAAAACAGAAAAACATCAAATTTATAATTATGAATAATTTAATTGTTGACTGTAATATATTAAATATCTCTTTGACCTTTCCCTCTACAGGTTTTCTCCTGATCCGACCGTACGTATCACTTTCTGGGGTGCTACGATCGGGGCAGGATTCAGCGGACTGGCCCAATATGCCGTCGGTCAGATAGCAGTCCAACGTTTCCTCACTGCCAAGTCTGTCAGGCTTGCTCGCAGGTGAGAGTGGAAGGGTTAATTATCGGTGGTTAGTGTCACTACGGGGAGGGGAGAGGGGGGGCGTTGTTTAATTCAATTTTTCAATTCAATGTATTTCTCCACAAATGCAAAACATAGGGAGATACATAAAATAAAATACATACATACAATACAATAATAGAACATGTACAATATATATAGAACGACTCCATTTGGAGCAATGTATGTTTTAAAAAGGAGAAAAAATCAGCAAATGTGGAAGGGGTAGTCAAAAATCAAAAATGATTTGTCGAGGACTACCCCCAATAATACAAAAAAAATTATACAATTAAAACTTAAAAGTAAATATAAGGTAAAATGATGAGGTGGTACCAATAACGAGAAAGAAGAGGGAGAAAATATCAAAGACAGGGGGGGGGGGGGTGCATCTACCTTTATGTGAATGTTGTAGGATTGATTACTTATAAGGAATAATCTTAACTTAGCCTTAAATGAATACAATGAAGAACAATTTTTGAAGTCAGGTGGATGATGACTCCATAACATAGGTCCATTGAAGGGTATCCGTTTTTTGTAAAAAAAAAAAAAGTCTTAGCTATGGGTATATGGAAACTACTTGCATTTATTGTAGCACATGAATGAATAAAAGAGTTCAGTATAAAATGGCAATCAAAGACAGGTGGCAAGCTGCTATGTTTGTACTGTGTTCTATCACCTTTGAACTCCTTAATAGCCCCTTCACATACACGTATCTTACGAGTCCTCATGGATCGCCAACTCGTAGTCAATCGCAAGCATCCGTAAATAACTCGCTGATACCCCTAACTGCAATCACTGTTTCTGTCTGTAAACTTGCATTTGTCTCGTTTGAAATAGAAAATCTTTGTTGGCAATTTTCTTTTATAGGCAACTTTTATTGCCGCTCCTGAGCTTCGTCAGGCGCGGATCCATGGGGGGGGGGGGGGGCAACGAGCCCCCTGGCAAAAAAAGAAGTTGTTTAAAAGATGTTAACCACAAATTAACCTTTGTCTTTTTTTTTCGTTTAAGGGGTAACAAATATTTGGGGGGAAAAAATATATTTTTAGTGCTCACTACCCCCTCAATATTATTGAGCGAAATTAACTGTCTGCGCTATTTTATAAATTTCCGCCCCCCCCCCCCCCTTATTGAAAAATCCTAGATCCGCCACTGTGCTCCGTTGCATGAATATTGGTGGCACTGATTGTCACTTTACCATTAATGATAACTTCCATGTAAACCTTGATTTGATTGACTGATGTGGGATGTTGACATGGTAGTGTTGGGATGCTTATAAAGGTAGTATTGGTAAAGCCAACGATCCCTTCGAGTATGGTGTTAATGATGGTTATTGACGTTACACTGTAGAGTTGCTGGAACTGGTGATGGTAATATTGGCAGTGATGAATGTCACAGCAGTTAGGGTGATTCCGGTGGTAAAAATAGCGTGACGATGGTAATACTGGCGGTTATGAATGTCACTGCAGTTAGGGTGATTCCGGTGGTAAAAAATAGGGTGACGATGGTAATACTGGCTGTTACGAATGTCACTGCAATAAGGGTGATTCCGGTGGTAAAAAAAAACTAGCCTAAGGGTGACGATGGTAATATTTGGTGGTGATGAATGTCACAGCAGTTAGGGTGATTCCGGTGGTAAAAAATAGGATGACGATGGTAATACTGGCTGTTATGAATGTCACTGCAATAAGGGTGATTCCGGTGGTAAAAAAACTAGCCTAAGGGTGACGATGGTAATATTGGTGGTGATGAATTCTCACTGCAATTAGGGTTACTCCGGTAGTAAAAATCGGGTGACGATAGTTATATTGGCGGGGATAATATTGTTTATAGATGATAATAACTGATGGCGACGACGATGACGATGTGATATTGCTTGTAATGGCGACCCCAATACCAATAATTGGTGGTAATGATGACGATGAATATTTCGGTAATAGTAGTGACGATAGTAATGTAATGATGGTGAAGATGGTGACGACGGTGATAATTGTTGGTAATGACGATGACGATACAATAACTAGTGGTAATGAATGTGACGATGGTGGAGATTTGTGGTAACGATGGTGACTATGGAAATTATTGGGCTATTCCTATTAATGATTACGATAATGCCAATGATTGGTACAAAATGACGGTGATAACGGTCATATTGGTTGTGATAATGTTGAAGATGATAACAGTTGGTGGTGATGATGGTGACGATCGTATATATATTGATGGTAAAATGTATGAATAAGTGATATTAGTTTATCATTACAGTGTCGATTGTGGTTCTAGCTGTAATTACGGTGACGATTTTTCACCAGTGTATATTGCTATAGTTATGTTTTGTATAAAATACAAATAATACTAGAAGTTTGGGGATTGATGTCGCTCATTGAAGTTTCTGAAAGATCAGGACATAAATGGAGCTATCCCTATATCATCTCTGTTCTTACAGGTCACTATTGTATGGTATACCATGTTCCTGGTTCATGGTAACGTTGGTGTCACTCAGCGGCCTTGTCATATATGCTTACTACAACAGTAAGTATTAATACCTCATACCCCAGACACACCGTCGAGACCGATATCAAACCGAAAATAGACCGACCGATAAATCTACATTACCGCGAATGGCAAAGAATCTGTCGGTTTCGGATTCTGTTTGAAATCGTTTTGGTTGTGTGACAGAGGTATCTGTCATACTCGTCTGACCGACTCCAAACCGATCGGTAACCTACAACATCTTATTTTTCAATCTGTTTTTGATCTCATCGGTATGACGGCACTCAATCATTTATGCATAAAATAAGTGCTTTCAAATATCAGTAAACTCAATTCGTCTCAAAAATTGTTCTATGCAAATACCCGAGGATTAAAATACCCGAAGATAGAAACAGTGCTTATGTCGATGCTTATGTCCATATGACCAGAACATATACACCAAATGGAATAATGTAGAAAATAAGGCAGAAGGAAAAAAAAAGAATACTTCAGCACTATTATTGGTTTCCGATCGTTTTTCAATTTTATTTGATATTTCATTTATTTCTCTTCGTGGTTCACTTTTCGTATGTAGCCTATTCGTTTATATTATGACAACATTATATTAAAACGGAATTATGGTTAATATATCAAAATGAATCTTAAAATCGGTACTTTCAAAATATCAGTAATGAGAGGCCGACTAAAACGTACCTCATCAATTTGTGTCAAAGTTATTCTAAGCAAAATGCCTGAGGATTTTAGAGACACTGCACTCATATTAATGTCTACTGCAGTGGCATGTTAAAAGGGCGCGTGATCAGAAAATATACTATAATTTAAAGGAATGTAGAGAATCATCTATAACGGAAAAAAGAAGAAGACATCACTGAACATATTAAAGTAATATTTCACTGTTGGTGGTTTCAGATTATGGACAGTTATGTATCCAGAAAATTTTTATGATAATAATTTTTTTAAAGTCCACTCCAAATTTTATTAAGCTAAACCGAAAATGGAAATTATTTTTGCCCAATTGATCGTGAGCCCGGCAGCCATGCACTGAGCAGCGCCAGATCGACGTTGCTCTCAGTATCCCTTATTGTTGAACGCCAAACAAGGTAGCAGCAACTCCCGTCTATATTTCTCTGTATGATCTTATTTTGCATTCATTTTTAGCATGCCCAACAAATCTAAGTGAATAACTTATATTTTGGTATTTACATGATTTTATGTGAAACAATGATTAGGAAGCGATGATCTTTTTTTTTAACTCAATAAAAATGCTGATGCCTCTTGAGAGTTCATTACACCATCAGGCTATTTCTGAACTTGAACAATATATGCCTTATATATTTATTTTCTTTTCTTTTGACTGACTTTTACTTATCCAATCATTTTAGATGACGAAAATGGGAGAGGTGAACCGAATTTCCCAAAGTCTGATCAGGTAATGGGCCCGACATGGATTATTTAGAATAACATTGTTTTACAATGTATGGCAGTATGGGTCGATAGTGATCATTTACTGGCGTACACAAAGATATATTGACGAAAATCAATGATAATGCATGATCTTTACTTTTTAAATCCTTCTAGTGGCATGACTAGTTCTTATGATTATGGTTCAAAATTAATGTTTGAGGGTTATATAAATACCTTTGAATCAAACATAATCCATCAGCAGAGGCGGTGGAGCCGGGAGTGGGGGGGGGGGGGAGGAGCACAGCACCCTTCCCATTCTTATAAGTACCTCTTGCCACCTCTGATAAGTGCCCCCTTCACCGATGATAATTGCCCTTATTCTAATCTGAGAGGTGCTGATTTTATTTTAACAAGTGCCCTTTTCTTTTGTAAAAGTGCTTTTTCCCATTCTGATAAGTACCTTTTCACATTCTGATAAGTGCCCCTTTTCATCTTTTCCCTTTGGATATGTGCCCCCTTTTTCTTTCACCGTAAAATGTGCTCCTAATTTAAAGCTACTAAGAGCAAATTTTTCTTTAATTTCACCCAAAGCTCTCTCGCATTTAAAGTTGATATGATTATGTTTCATATATGAGATCTTTTCAGTCTTTCATGATAAGGTTGTGCTGAAAACCCCATCAGGATTGTTTGTTTTTCTCTTTGCAAGATGTAATTGTTCACACTGCAACCCCACAAATCTTAAATTTTTGCTCACTCGCTTCGCTTGCTCGCAAATAAATATTCAGACATCCCACCCAGCTGCACAATAATGATGCTTAAGTGGTATCTTGGACCATGTAAAGAGAGAAACAAACATTGAAATCATCCCTGATAATGTTATCACAATGTAGGGGTATATACCAATGTCTAAAAATTGTATATTTTCGCTTTAAGGTTTCGCTTTGTAGGTGCCCCTTTAAAAAAAAAAAAAATCCCTTTTTTGTTGGTGCCCTCATCCCCACCCCCTTCCCTCCCCACACTTTGAAAGACGCTCCGCCGATATATAATACTGAAACTATGGGCAATAATTGAGTAGGAAGACCAGTATGACGAAAGGGGATCTGAAAAAAGGGGAAGATACCCTGCTGTACATCGAGTGGATGGAGCGTTTTCGGTATGTATAAAACGTGATTAAGATAGAGGTCGCTGTTTGATCAGTCATCTGCCGCTAGAACTGGACACAATTTATCTAGAAAGTCAAGGATGAGTAAGTGTACGCTTTAACATTCGATTTTTTTTTCTTCCTGCAACAGATCTTGATATACTTTGTAAGTCAAGAGTTTGGAAAGATTCCGGGAATTCAAGGGCTCTTTATCGCAGCGCTGTATGCTGGAACGATTAGGTATAACAAACATTAAGACAGATGTTGTGGATATGTTTGGTTGCGCGTTATAAGATGAATATTATAAAGGAAAATATACGCATCGCGTATGCAATTACGATAGGATGAATTATTTGTCTCCTTATTTATAATACATAAGATTTGCTCATCTTCTTTTCGAAGCTGGAAAAAGAATTTTGTCTACACCTCTTTATTATCTTAATCTCTGTCTGTCGCCATCTCTTTTTCTAATTGGTAATGCGTGCATGGGCATGTCTGTCTGTCTGTCTATCCTTCTCTCGAGTCTATCAAAGTTAACTGCTAATCATCACGATGGCATGTTCCAGAGACAGTTTTTCCAGGCCTTTACGAATTCCCGCCAAAACGCGCGAAAGCAATGCTTGCTACAAGCATCTCATTAAAGGTAGCCCTACTATGCCCCATTTGCAGGGCAAAACAATGAAAAGGTTAAATTCCAACGACATTTTGAAAGACAATACTAACTTAGAACTTCCCTCAAAACGAAAGGGCTTGAAAATCTATCTATCTATCTATCTATCTTCATATCTTGATATCTATCTGCACACATACGTTTGACAGCACGGTGACCTCGGGGTTAAATTCACTGGCTGCCGTGACCCTTGTCGACATCGTAAAACCATGGAGGAGGTGGAGGTCAAGACGTCGAGGGGAGGTCGTAGAGCCCGAAGAGACGGTAGAGCAAGATCATCGCGATACATGGTTCTCCAAAATATACAGTAAGGAATTGGGGAAGAAAGGGGGAGAGAGAGAGAGAGATTAGTGAGAGAGAGAGAGAGAGAGAGAGAGATGGGGATGGTGGAGAGAAAGAGAAAGAGAGGGATATATATTAAGAGAAGAGAGAGAGAGAGAGAGAGAGAGAGAGAGAGACAGAGACAGAGACAGAAGGAGAGAAGCAGAATTTAGAAAGAGAAAGATACTGAAAATGTGAAAAGAAAACAAACATCGTATTTCAATATTGAATCGATATTTTGATATCTCAAAATGCGCCCATCAAGTAATCCAGTAACTGTAAATCGTTTAATTTGTTACTACCGGTAAAATGTATTTATTTCCCCTTGATTCTTAGAGAATATTTGGACATTTTTCTTGATCATAATGATAAAATATAGAGAAGAAAGTTATCTATTCAATGTCTCTTTCTGTTTATTCTCTCATGTAGCCGTTGTCTACGGTTGTATTACGCTCGGCCTGGCTTTCGTCGCCACCAAGTTGGGGTCACTGATACAGATGTCAAACTCCGTATTGGGGCCAATCGGTGGACCAATTGTCGGTGTCTTCTCGGTCGGTATGCTCTACAAGAGAGCAAACTCAGGGTAAATCCGTAGTATTTAATTTCCTTTCTGTTTGACTTTTAAAAACGGGGTAGGATATTTTACACAACAATGGCCTGTTAGGCTGATGAAGGACAGCATAAAATCAGAAAGTGCTTATTAACGGTTTTTGATGTAAATACGATAATACAAAAGGACTTTGATTCTTTAACTTTGAGATGATTTTAGCATGTATATATTACATGATATTATGTTAGGAGGTTAAGGAAATGGTAAGGAACAAACAATGGAGGCTGTGATTATTTTGGTCTCATATACCGAATATCTTGAACTACTGAGAGTTTCTAAATTGGAAAAAATAAAAATCGTGCCGAAGGTGGTTTAATATTTACTCTGGTAACAACTGCTCCGTGCTCTATTTTGTCAAAATTATAACAGGTAAACACCAGGGCTGAAATTTGGTTTAGGTTAGATTTAATGTAAGAGTTGTGTATAATGTTTGGTCTGGTGTTGACTCCACAAGAATGAAGTCTATTAAGACCCTGTCCGATGAAAATACAACTTTATATCAGTTTCCCTTTCAGTATTGCACAAAAGCAAATTAAATCGACATTTCCCGCACCCCTCTAAATCACGAGACAACAAGGGGGAACACGGGCCAGTTACGATGATGACAGGATCTATAATAATTTGTCGCATGAGAAAGTGTTGTACAACCTTATTACCACTACAAACATCTTTAATTTCTTTCTTTATTTCATTCTTTCTTTCATTATTTCTTTCTTTCTTTCTTTCTTTCTTTCTTTCTTTCCTTTTTTCTTTCTTTCTTTCTTTCTTTCATTCTTTCTCCCTTTTAGAGGAGCCATCGCCGGTCTAGTTGTGGGATCTGTCTTTGGTATCGGGATGTCCGTTGGATCAGCTGTTAACCCGGACTCGGACTTGTGGATCTTAAAAGTAAGAAATTAGAAGCTTAAGGGAAAACAGTCCCCTCCCCATTTTTTTTTCGCGAGGCACATGTAGAAAAATAATGCAGGAACCTACAAGACACCCCCCCCCCCCCAAAAAAAAAAAAAAATATATATATATATATAGAGGCCTATATATATATATATATATATATATTATATATATAAATAAATAAATAAATAAATAAATAAATAAATAAATAAATAAATAAATAAATAAATAAATAAATAAATAAATATTTAAAAAAATATATAGGCCTCTATAATAGAGTCGCACCGCTTCTGAATCATAGGCTGATCATCCCTTGCTCTCAAAACATTTATTATGCAGGTATCATTCATGTGGTACACCATGATATCCTGTTTCACAACGATCATCGTCGCCGTTCTTGTCAGCGAGGTCGTACGTCTGTTCAGCGACAAGGAGAGGAGTCGTCAGGTTGACCCGCTACTGTTGGCGACATTTCTCCGGTGAGTACATGTACATAAACGGTATGTGATATAAACGTGCATAGTGCCTTCTTGTGCCAGTATTTGGTGACCCAAAGATTCGTCTTTGAATCCAATTAGATTTTTCAACACGACGGTGTGCAGGCGCGGATCTAGGGAGGGGGGCGAGCGGGCCTTGCCTCCCAGCTGTTAGCTCCCCTCCCCCCCCCCCCATCAAAAAATAAGAGACAAGGAAGGAAAGAGAAAGAAAAAAGGAAAAGAGGAGACAAGGGGAAGGAAAAGAGAGGAAGAAGAAAAGAAAAGAAGGGGGATATCAGTTACAATTTTCTCGCCAACAAATTGTGGATCGGGGGGGGGGGGAGGTCCTTGCCTCCCCCAAGCAAACCTAAGACAGAGAGAAGGAAGGGAAATGAAAGGAAAAGAGGAGAGAAGGGGAAAGAAAAAAGAGAAAGAAGAAAGGTAGGGGAGATCAGTTACGATTTTCCCCGCCAACAAGGTTTAGATTGAGGGGGAGGGGGGGGGGGGGGGGCAGGGGGGGGGGGGGGGGGGGGGGGGGGGGGGGAGGGGGCTTGGGGTGACAGATGCCCCCAAATATAATTCAAACGTGGTTTATTTCTAATTCGATACTGGTGATTCACAAATGTCGCTGAAATTAGATCATTTTCTGAGATTTTTCCTCAATGTTTTAGTAAATTATACTTTTTTTATGCGTTTGATGGAAAATGGCAAATTCGTAATAAAAGAAAGAATAGTGACCTGCCTTTGTCACAAAATAATAAGGTGTCAAAATTTGCTCATCTGACCGTGATTAAATGCCTAAAACCCCTGAACTTCCGGGGGCTCTGCCCCCTGGATTCCACCTAGGGCGGCAACTGGATGCTCATCTGACGGTAATTTAATGTATAAAACCCTTGAGCTTCTGGGGGCTCCGCCCTTGGATCCCACACCAATTTGTGTCCTGCCAGTGTCACAAATAAGGTATCAACATATGCTCATATAACCCTAATTAAATGCCTATACCCCCTGAGCTTCTGGGGTCCCCACCCCTGGACCCTCGCAGGGGCTTCGCCCCTAGACCCCACGCCAATTTACGCAACGCTCTATACCTGATCGTTAATACCCCCCCCCCCCAACTACTTAGAAAAACGTTCAGCGGGGCCTGTATGTAAGAGTGGGTTATTTAAAATTTTATTTAAATATTCAGAATCCGAATTGCATATTTATTACGTGTTTTTACACAAGACAAACCATCATATTTTACTTACCTAGCAACTATTAGTGTATGCAATTCACAAACTAAGTATTGAAATGCAATCATTCGTAGCAAGTGTGTAACAAGTGATTGAGGTAAGATGTAACGAGTCATGGAACAAAGATTTGTGCATTAAATTTGATTGCATTACGATTGTCTATTCTTTCCTAGTTCTTACTCTTTATCAATTTGGTCACCCACCAACCGACTATAATAATACGAGTTATTGCTGTTCTGTACCGTTACAGAGATGGCGCTATACACCATTTTTTTTTTAAATGACAGCGAATGTCACCGATTTCTGATAGATGGCGCTAGTCTGTTCCTCATTACGAACAGGACAGTGCTCCTAAATGCTGTTTATGCTAGTTTCCGTTATTTCCTTCTGCGTTCTGTGTAAAGAAGGCAGGATTGAGAGCGCAATTATTTTGTTGTAAGAGTTTATGCCTTCTTATAAATTTAGGCTATATGTTTGTGTTCTGTTGGGGCTACTTCTCAATGATTCTAAATCACTATTATAATTTTTGTTTAAGCTAACGAAAATCTGACTTTCTTTATAGAATCATCCCCCTTTTCACCGTCTCTATCTGACCTTACGTTTCTAACTCTCTTTCTTTTCTCACCTTCTCTTCTTTCGTAATCCCCTCTCTTTCTTATCTCACCTTCACTTTTTTCCCCTCTCATTCTCCTCTTCTATGTCCACTTTCGCTTCTTTCAGTAATGTATATTGCCCCCCCCCCCCCTCCTCGCCTTTCACTATATCGTCTTTCTCCCTTTTTTCCATCTTCCCTCGAGTCCCTTTCTCTCTCATCACAACTTTATGTTTACATTTCTCTCTCTCTCTCTCATCCCCTCTCTTTTTCTCCCTCTCCCTCCCTTTCTCGCCTCTATTTTTGTTCCTTTTCTATTGTTTTCCTTCTTTATTGTATAAGTTGTGATTTCGGTATAAATAATGACAAATACACAAACAAGATCACAAATACAATGAAAATCTAAATCATAATTAGCGTCCAGTATACACCAGTATAATTTGAGAACAGAAAACAGACTTAATTTATCTTTCATGAAAATGATATCACAAAATAGTACCATAATAATAAAATACAGTGGAAGAGTTATTAAAATTTCAACTTTCAACAATTTATAAAGTGCCTTTTCATAAAATACAAAGCGCATAAAAAGAAAATAATTACAAACAAAGCAAGAGAACATTATTATACAAAGCATAAATTGATAAAGAACAAATGAATATTTACAGAAATTGGAAAAGATGTGTTTGAAGACACGCATTGCAAGACAGGGGGTTAGGCATTCAGGGTTTTGGGGCAATAACTTAAAAAGCCCTATCACCTATTTGTTTACTGGGTCTGGTACTGGTCCTGGAGGGCAAGTGTATTACTAGTGACAGAGCGTTTAGTTTAAGTTTAATGAGACCAGGGAGTATCATGTCAATCAGACATAACACCATCAGATACACTACCATCAGGACTGGAATAACCCCATTCACCTTGCTCACTTGCACTTGACTCACAGTCACTAGGAGATAGATAAAGTTCTGAGTCTGAGTATTCAACTTCCCCTGTAAGAAGAACAGACAGATGTCTTGGTACTATGCCCTCATGCGGGATCTTGCAGCGAAGGATTGTTCTTGCTGCTATTTCTTGAAGAGGTAACGTTGTTCTTGGTGGGGACAGCAGGGTCATTAGCTCTTCATTTTCTGGTGCATCTGGATCAAATTCATAACGTCTACTGTTACAGATATTCTCTTTCACTGTCAAACCATCAGCATCTCGTGCTTCAATATCACACCCATTGCGGATAAGGATCAGAGCAATTTCCTTTGTGAACTGATGTCTGGCATGGCCATCAAGACAGAGTAACGAATGCAACATTGAGTTCCCGTTAGAGTCAATTTGAGTTGCATCTTCACATCGCATCATCCTTAAGATCAAACGCCTCATACGATTCTCTTTCAGTTGCCTTCGACGGTACTCATCCTTTTTTACCCTATCTTCGGAAAACCCCCAATACAATTCCTTAACGCGTTCCAAGATACGGTGAGAGATTGATACACAAGATTTTTCACCAATTTGCATTCTTATAACTCTTACCATTCCTTCACCAAACTGAAGCAGTGGTTCAAACATTTTCTTAGACTTGGCAGAGTCAAAAACTAGAGCAAAATCGAACAATAAATCGCCAACTTCATCCACCAATTTAACGTCGAGTTTAAGGTCCTGGGAGTCTTTACTAAACACCTGCAGACAAAGGTCTAGCAACTTGTAACACTCATCAACTTCTTCATGTTCAAGTTCTCCTCCGTAACGGATACCTGTCATTAGGTAGACAAGGACTGATCCAAGCTCAAGTTTTGATTCCAACTCCAACTGTATTAATTCTCTACAGATCTGAGAGCATTGTGACAGTGTTTCCTGGTTCCTTCCCTTGTGAAACATCACGCCATCAAGCCCATGCTCGAAAACTCTTCGAAAGATGTAGCTATCTTTTATTTCTTCTGGGAGCACTCTTTCTGCAACCAAGAAGCACTGGTTCTTTAAAGACCACTGATCTGACTTGATGTTTTCCCAGTCTTCTTGAGTCTTACATTCCTTTGTTTCAGAGAAAAGAGAGAAAGAAGCAGCTACTTCAGACTTTCCATGATTCCCATAGGGTTTAATACTATTTTCCTTGTGAATAGACAGAGCTCTGCAGAAATGTGTACATGGGTGCTCCTCACCTCTGCAAGTGGGTGCGTTGAGGTTAGCATTAAGGCCCACTGCCACTCCAAGAATTTCATAAACTCTTGCCTTTTCTGCATTGGACAATCGCAATTCATGGGTTTTTCCCTGCACAAAAAATTCAACGATGTCTTGGAAATTGTAAATTGCTGCCATGCAAGGAGGATCGAGTCCATTTAAGTTACAGGTCAGTGTTGCGCCATGATTGATGAGAAGTCCAAGGATCTCCTTTCTTGACTGCATGTCCCAGCCCTGACGGGAATAAAAATAATCTAATGGTGGAAGTTTTGTACAGTTGTTGCCAATGGAAGCAAAGTGCATTGGTGTGTTTCCATCTTTGGAGCCTTTTGCATTGGGGTCAGCTCCATGATCAAGGAGGAACTGGACCATTTCCTTCTTATCTTTACCACAAGCGATCATCAGAGGCGACCAACCACGTTCGTCTCTAGCATCTAGATCAACATTTTGGGACGCAAATATTCCTTTCATGTCATCAAGACTCACTGGATTAGGCAATTCCATTCTTGAAGCCAAGTTGAATGGTTGCTGGTCCTGGTTGACTGATGCCATTTTCCGTCAAAAGTTTCACTCGACAGCAGATCTACAATTGAAAACAATAACAGACCAAAAAACACAATATAATTGATTACCGTACAGACATTTACTAGATTTTTTGTTCTACATTTACCATGTAAGAAGTGGTAGTCCTGAATAGAACTAGTAAACCTGATAAGAGCAGTTTAAATCTGGTTTACAAGTTCTCTCCAGGGCTTAATCACCCATACATGACAGAATACATTTCATTCTAAATCTTTGCAGGTCTACTTCTCTCTATAAACAAATTCAGGTAGTCCTTAATTATGTTAATAGGATGAAACAAAGAATACTTCTCCCTTCCTCTCTCTTTACTCATCTATCATCTTTCAAATCCAATTCTCTTTCAAGTTTCAAGACTATCTATCTTCGCGCAATATGCAAAGTCAACCATGTCAACCATTACCTTTTCAAGGATCATTATGATTACAGATACTGGTAGTTGTAGATTTACAAATTTATATTCATCAATTTATATTCATCAATTTATATTCATCAATTTATATTCATCAATTTATATTCATCAATTTATATTTAGAAATTGTTTTTTTAGTTATAAAATCTATGACCTATAGCTAAAAATATGACTTGTATTCATATATTTAGGTATTAACTATAGATCTTTATATTCTATATATATATATATATATATATATATATATATATATATACAGTGCGTCCCAGAAACCGAGAATTATTGATGTTTTTTCATAACTTAATCACAATTATAATTGATAAATGACACATATTTTTAAAGCTTAGATCCTCCTCTTTCATTTGATGAAACTCATATAATGCATATTTCACGCATGTATGATAACAATGAATTTGAAGAGAGCAAACCAAAAATTCTTTTGGCGGGCGGTATCTAAATTTCAAAGAAAAAATAATATTTCTAGAAAGTTCATTTTCTGCCCTTTCATATGACACCTCAATCAGGAAAAATGAGCCAGGAATAACAAAGTTCTGTTTGTCTAAAGTTTTGCTTGCATTTCCATAATTTTGTTAAACGAATTCATTTTCACTGGCTGCCTGCCGTTACGTGCCGTAGCAACAAACGGAATTAATAAAAGACTTAACTCCGTTTCGTTGACAATCAGCCGTAGACGAAAGACTTCATGCATGTGTGACATATGCATCATACGAGTTGCATCAAAATGAAAGAGGAGGATCTAAGCTTTACAAATATGTGTCATTTATTAATGATAAATGTGACTAAGTTATGATAAAAGTAACATTGATAATTCTTGGTTTCGTTTTTTCTGGGACGCACTGTATATATATAGGGTCTAGACTGTATATCTTACATGATGATATAGGCCTAGTAATACACTCCTTCATATGATATAAACAGCCTACCGTCAGATATTGCACTACTACTACTACTACATTGTAGCTGCTTAAAGGTAATACAAAGTTTTGGGAAATTTTTGAAAATTGGGTGGATAGTGATTCTTTACAATTTTGATATATTTGGATGCCAGTGTGGATGTATTATAAGCACTAGAAAATTTAGCCCCTAAAACACTTCTGCTTTCTAGAAAATTTGAATATTAAAATTTACCGGTGCTCCCGGTAAATTTTGATGAATTTCAAATGGCGCCTACGGCCATACAATGGTGGCTGCAACCATGAAAATCTCAGAATATGTAGTTGTGATATATAATTTCCAAACGGGAATAGCCAATCGGTCGATTATAGTCAAGAAACATTGTTTTATAGTTAAATTCATATTTTGACCTTGAGAGGGAGCTATACAACATAAAGAGTTAATTATTTACAATTTCATCACTTTAGACTCGATTTCAACCGCGACAACGATCACTGAATATTGTAAGATCGCATATGCTTCCAACATGTTCATTCGAACCAAATTCATGACTCCATACCAAAACTTTGTATTACCTTTAAATGACGTCATTGGTAGCATAGGCGCCGGAAGTGGGGGGGGGGGGGGGGGGGGGGTCCTACAAAAGTGGGGGTGGCAAAACACAGTTTTGCCGCCCCCCCCCCCCCCCCCCCCCACCCCCTCCCTCCTAACTAGCTACCCTGACAGAAAGAGAAGGTTATAGAATAATAGATAATAGAATAATAAAAGAATAATAAAAAAATAAAAAAAATACACAAGAGTAGATGTTAGAAGAAAGAAACAAAGAATACAATAAGGAAAGACAGAAAGAGAAAGTGATAGAATGATAAAAAAAAAAGAACAAAGAATAACAAAAGAGAAGGTAAGAGAAGGTGATAGAAGGACGAAACAAAGGATAACATATAAGGAAAGACAGAAAGAGAAAGTGATACAAAATAGAAGTAAAAGGAAAGATAGAAGAGAAGATAAATGATAGAAAAACAAAGAATAACATAAGGAAAGACAGAAAGAGAAAGTGATAGAATGATAAAAACAAAGAATAACATAATAAGAGAAGATGATAGAAGGAAGAAACAAAGAATAACATAGGGAAAGACAGAAAGAGAAAGTGATACAAAATAGAAGAAAATGGAAAGATAGAAGAGAAGATGAATAGTAAAAAAACAAAGAATAACATAAGGAAAGACAGAAAGAGAAAGTGAAAGTGATAGAATGATAAAAACAAAGAATAACATAAGAGAAGATGATAGAAGGAAAAAACAAAGAATATCATAAGGAAAATAGAGAGAGAAAATAATAGAATAATAAACGGAGAATCACATAAGAAGTGATCAGAAGGAGAAATGGAATAGGCGCGTGCGGGGGCCATTACGTCATCGTGTAGAGAATGGGCGTCGACTAAACAATGAAAAGGGTTATAAGGTAGTGAACAGGACAGGTGTCTGACGCTAATTCGCATCATTAGAGGATGCGAACGCCGTCCTCGTCCACACAAACGAAAAGCCCCTAGGCCTCCTATCGCAGAGACAACGTGGCTGAAGTTACGCATTCTGCTTACTGCTTAGCAACATATGCGTACGCTTTGCACACGCTTGCATATCGCGCGATACAGCCGTTTGCCTAAATTTAAAAAAAAAACATAATTCTGTGTGTACGTCTTTTTCATCGATTCTGACCAAAATGCTATGAATATTGCAGCGTTTTGGAGGGGCTGTATCTTTTGATAGAAACATCAGTGAGACTTGAAATTTGAAATGTACTAAGTTAGATCTATTCTGATTACAATTTTTATTCAATTATCAAACAAAAATGGTGAAAAAAGACCCCAAATTGAAGATTGAAAAATCGTTCAGACACCCTAATACTAATAGTAATAAACTAATACAGCTAGGCGAGATCTAAGCATGTGTGAGCTAGACTCGTTTCTCACTCGACGCCATCGCCATCGGCATCGCAGATATATGTACGAGCACTCCTCAAAATCAGTATGTGGGACCGAACGCGAACCTGCACTTACCAATACCAGCTCACTGTGTCTTGAAACACTCCAGTTCGGCGTCAGATTTGGGCTAGTTTAGACTCTAGAGCTCCGGGGAGAGATTTGTGGACAGGATTCCGTAGTCTGGAATTTACTTTTCCCCACTCAACAGACTGACACATGGATCAAGGTATCTTTTTGGAGACACTTCTGACTCTGAGGGTCAATGCTTGTTGTTGTTGTTGCGATTAATGGCGTTTCCAAGGTTTCCATCGTCATTGGATGATTTTCGCCAGCCCCCCCCCCCCCCGGCCCCCCTCCCCCCTCCCTATTCAGCGGCTGGCTGAGTCGTTGCGAAATTTTTGAGACCAAAAATACAAAAAAAAAATATGTCCTCTTATTTCCCTTCTTTTTTCCTTCTTTGTCTTTCATATTTTGGGCATGATAATAAAACTAAATTGTTTCTATCGTCTGGCATTCTACACATAATAGTCCAGTGTCGTGTTTTCTAATTAAATATTTATAGTAATTCAGGTTACATTTACCAAGCCTGAATTGGTGGATTAATCTTTCATCCTTTCGGTTCAAACCTTTGATTTGAAAAAACATATTATTTACATTTTTATTGATGCTATATATATTATACAGGTGTCTTCCTTTCTCTAGCTGCTTTAATTATCACATGGATTTATAGTAAATGTCTGATTCTCTTATGAACTCACTTTTGCTTTGGTTTACTATTATATCTGTGTTTGGGTTTTTTTAAAGCTTGTTTTGCCAACAAATTAGCTCGTTCGTTTCCTGCTAGGCCGTAGTGGGCTAGTTCAATAAACATATTTCTCCAGTTGCAATGGCATTTCCCCCACATTCAACTTGTAAAGCTTTTAAAGAATTAGTTAGATGAACTCCTCCAGTAATAATGTAATGTAATATAAAGGAGTGGAATATAAAGAAATAATGTGATATAAAGGAAGTGGAGGGGCAGGGTGATGGGGTGCCGGGAAGGAGCATTAATGGGATACCTATACTTCGTTTTTTTAATTTTATTGTTAATTATGAACAGTGGATAGGATAGTTTGAGGTAGATGAGAAGGGGGCGGGCATAGTGATACAAGGGGGTACAAGCACTGGCAAAAAAAAGTGTTAAAAAAAGACAGGCCCCACCCCTGGTCAAAGGGGGGGGGAGATGTTAACCACCATATGACCTTCAAAAACAAACAAATTTAGTGCTCCCCCCCCCCCGCTTATTCGCCGCAAATGAAAAAAAAAGTATTGCTCTTTACCCACCCCCCCCCCCTGCTTATTCTCGGCCGGTTGATCGGCTGATTTTTTCACGAATTGAGCCCCCCCCCCCCCCCCCCCCTGCTCGCCGCCGGCTGGATCCGCCACTGGTGTAATAGTGGATAGGATTGTTTTTGGATGATGAAAATAGGATGGGCATAGCGATGAAGCCTGGTTGGTTAGGGGCTAAGCGGGGAAGAAGGAGTTTAAAGGGATATATAGATATTGCTACTTTTATCTTTTTTTTGTGTGTATGTTTTAATTAAGATTTTGTTGTTGTATAATTTTAAATTATAATCCAAATTAGAAGCATATATGTGATGCAATTCATAACGCTTTGAATATGTGATTGATGTTAATACATATGGACAATTCCACGACATAAGGGACAAAGTTGTCATAAATTCAAAATACTAGATTCAAATACCTCATATAGTTACACAATTAGAGTTTTAAGAATTGTCATATTTTGTACAAATGGCGGCCCTTTATATATTCAAAATGGCTGCCGAATTATTTCAATCACATGGATGAAGTTACCAGAGAAAAACTTTACCAACTTCATGGGGACAAAAAATAATGTTTCATTAATGAATCTGACCAAAATCTTGATTAGATTTATACCATGGAAGATAGTATATCGGTAAAGCGCTTATAGAGACATTGTATTAAGCGCTAAAAGCGGAATATGATATTAACGTCAATTACCAAAACATGGATATTTTTATTTTATTACAAAATGAGGTGAGTGCGTCCGAGAAAAACGAAACCGAGAATTATCGATGCATTATCATAACTTAATCACAATTATAATTAATAAATGACACATATTTGTAAAGCTTAGATCCTCTTCTTTCATGCAACTCATTATGATGCATATTTCACGCATGAGTGATTGAAAACAATAAGAGAGGGTACCAAAAAGTCATTTGGCGAACAATATCTGAATTTATTTCATAGAGAAAAATCATAGTTCTAGAAAATTATGTTTTTGCCTCTTCATATATGACACCAGGCGCGGATTCAGGGGGCCGAGTGGGCCTTGCCCCCACCCCCCCCCCCCGCAAAAAAAAGGGAGAGAGAGAGAGAGAGAGAGAGAGAGAAGGAAAAGAAGGGAAATGGAAAGTGGAGAGAAAGGGAAAGAAAGAAGAGGAAGAAGAAAAGAAAAGGGGGAAAAGAAGAAGATCGGGGGGGGGGGCGAAAAGGCCTTACCTCCCAGGCTATTGCCCCCTCCCTCCCCCCACCCCCCACCATCAAAACAATAAGATAAAAGGAAGGAAAGGGAAAGAAAAAGGAAAAGAGGAGATAAATGGAAGGAAAAAGAGGAAGAAGAAAAGTATATCAGTTGCAATTTCCCCGCCAACAGCTTCTGGGGCCTCCGCCCTCTGGACCCAACGCCAATTAGTGTGCTGCTTGTGTCACAAATAAGGTATCGAAATATGCTCATCTGACCGTAATTAAACACTAAAACCCCTGAGCTTCCGGGGGCTCTGCCCCCTGGACCCAACTTGGCCCTATTAAAGACAGGACCCTGTATGCGTATCTGACCGTTATATGCCTAAAGCCCCTGAGCTTCTGGGGGCTCCGCCCCATGGACCGCTCGTCAGTGACCTGCCAGTGTCATGAATAAGGTATCAAAATTATGCTCATGTGATCGTAATTAAATGCCCATACCCCTTGAGCTTCCGGGCGCTCCGCTCCTTGACACACCCCCCCCCCCGGGCTATGACTCTAAACTCTACGCTACCTGATCGTAAATACTCTAGCCTCCCCCCCCCCCCCCACGCACTTTGAAATACGTTCAGCGGGGCCTGCATGTAAGAGTGGGGGTGGTGCGGATTTTTAGTTCCCCCCTCCCGCCAAACATTTTTGCTCATTACGCCACTGCTGGTCACCATAACGTACCAATATTTGGCTTGCATAATTTCAAACTTGAGCCCCCCCCCCCCCTAAGAAATTCCTGGATCCGCGCCTGACGGTGACGGTGTGGTGGTCTAATTATAGAATTAGAACTTATATTTTCCTGGCCGCCTCTGTGTATGGTCAGAACGAATAATAATAAACTTTGTAAATTTATTGCTCATCTTGTCTAGATAATTAATGTATATATTCCCCCCTATTTTTTTCTTCTTTTCTTTATTTTTCTAGACCTAAATCCTTTCATGCAGATAGTGCGTCATCATTTGAGTTGGAGGCCAAGGAGGAGAAACATGGAAGAGAAGGAAATATCGACATTACAGATGAGATCGAATACAAAGGAGATAGTGTTAAAAAGGGAGACTAGTTTAAAAATTAAATCTTAAATAATCAATAGCACCACTGGGGCTTTAAAAGTGGAGGGCCTATGTAGGTTAACAAAAATGGGGAGGCGAAGTTGGAGGATAGGATCAAGAGATTGAATAATAAACAAACAGATATGTGTAATTGTTACCATCAGTACAAAATATGCTTAATCGGGAAGAGGGTCAAAAACAAAACGCACACGCACTAAAAAAGCACCCCCAAAAAAATTAAAAAATAAATCCACCCACTTCCCTTTTTATATTCTCAGACGCCTCTAATATCAATGTTAAACAGCAACTTCTTGACCTTTTTTTAAATATTTTACAGAAAATCTATTGCGTGGGTTTTGAAAAACCTCTGCAGCGAAATTTGTTGCTATAAGGCGAACTGTAAAGTTGTACTATAATTATTTCCTTTTTCTGACAGATTTTGTATTTTTTGAGTATTATCAGTTTGATGTCATATTGTTCTAATTATAATTAGAAGAAAATGAGCAAGAGGGGTGGGTGGGGAGGGGGAGGAGTGAGATAGAGAAGATATGGTACGGAAAACGAGAAAGAGGAGGGAAGGAGAAAGAGAGAGTGAAGTGGAGAGAGTCGGGCGTAGTTGCTTGGTGTATTCTCAACATTTTGTAATCATGAACTGCAATTAATACTAATTGGTAGTATAACGTAGTACCGTATGTAGAATACTTCATTTCTTTTTAGACTGTATAAGAAAAACATCCTTGCAAAATATATCAATCAGTTACGTCCATTTCGATTCTCAACATTGTTATTGCATTTTATTATTAAACTTGTTATTCTGACATGTACTACCCACTTGAATTGCATGTACATTCCATATGAACTTTTGAGGAAATGTTTGGTCAAAAAAATAATCTGATATCCAAAATGGAAAAAGGGAGTATTGCATTTTCAGCTGATTTTGGGGGTCTAACTTTGCCGCCGGGGTCACAATTTTATCTTGTATTCAATAAAAAAACATGTACATTCGAATCTCCCTATCCTTTGTTTCATGTACGTTCAATGTATAATAGATGAAGAATTCGTCATGGACTCGGATCCAAGAGATGATCATACCTGTAGCAATAGTATTGTGAAATATACAGGTTCTACTTGTATACTTTTTGAATAAATGAAGTCTATATTCTCTTTATTGCTATGCGAATTCCCTTGCTTAACTGTACAAAGTAAACATACATGTAAAAACTATTAATATGACATTAATCTGCTTGTTGCTGTCTATCGTTTTCTGTCCTTCCTCCTCAAGGCCAGTTAAGATTACTCCCGATTATCTGTCCTATTGTTTTAAAAAACAACAAAGACCAATATACACTACATGGATTCATCTCTCTCTTTTTTTATTTCTTTATTTCTCTCTGTCCCTCTCTCTCCCCCTCCCCCTCTCTCTCTCTCTCTCTCTCTCTCTCTCTCTCTCTCTCTCTCTCTCTCGTCTCTCTCTCATCTCTTCTTACACTCCTTATCCTTCTCTGTCTTTGATAGGAAACAGTGATTCCATGGTCGCGGTTATTCTATACGAATTGATAAAAGTACATAATCATCACACCACTTTGTACAATAACATTCATGATCTTTATTTCAATTATTTTCAGTATAAAAAGTCATTTACAGAACAACAAGTTATATAAACATTAAATCTGAAATTACACATATTCACAAACACAGAAATCTACTTCTACCGTTTTAT